TTTATTTCTCCATGAATCAACTAAGTTTTGGCACTGCTCAAAGCTCAGAAGTCACCCACTACAACGGCCTGAGGCTACATGTATATAGCTATAAAGGAAGAGGACCACCTGTTTCCAGGCTTCAAAACTTGGCCTAATGACAGGATGATTGATGGCCTTGTGATAACAGCAGCTACACTTCACAAGCCTTTTGGTTGGAGCTGGACAATACACATCCTATATGGGAGTTGGCCTGGGTCTGGTATTTGCCTCCAAAATTCTGGGTCAAAAGTTCAACCAGGGTTAAAGGGGCACTCAAGATGCTTTTTAGCTATGTCTCAATTGGGACCTGCTGGATAACTCTACATTAAGAAAAAAAATATTTTGGTTCACTTGGTGGAACATTAAAGGCTGACGAATTAGGCTCCTAAGCCAGAGCCGAATCCGAAATCTGCAACCGAAGCCGAAATTTGAAGAAAGTTTTCCCCACGGTATCTGGCAAAACTTTAATAGGGTATCAAATTGTCAGGCGAACCTGACGCAGACATTTCCCTCGAAATAGCTCGCACCAGCAGGCTTGTTGTTGCACGCAGCACGGGGAGAATAAACGCGCAGAAGATAACAAAGTTGCTGAATTGTCCCCCAAGGAGCAATTTCACATAACCTTGCCGTACGTAACTCAATCAAAACAAATTGCAAGTGTATAGCTCCCGAAATGTCTTGGTAATTTTTTTGTTTCTTCGGTATATTGGAGATTTCGCGAATATCCGGCATTGCACGCCTGGGTTGGTCCGCGTAATGCTCTCCCAATCGCCAAGGACACTTGAAAGTCTTGTGTAGCTGATTTTTTTAGCGCTAGTTTTACACTGCAGAAAAAAAAAGTGACTTTGAAATTAAAGGTCAAAACGGAATGGGTTTTTTGAAAGATTTCCGAATTTCAAGGACAAAAGTACTGGATTTGTTTTCACCGAATTGAAAAAAAAAGTCCATCAAATTTTGTTGATAATAATATTCTATTGCAAAGAAAATTATAATGTCATTGAAATAATATTTTATTTGCATCAGACGCAGTCAAAATAAATATTCATCGAAATTATGCAAAATTACAAACATTCAACCTGAAAAAAATCAGACTTGTTTCCGATGAAAAACTCAAACTCAAAAGGAGTCGAGTAATTATTTCTCCCTATATTAATGTTTCATAGAATTTTAAGCAGACTTTACAGTTTTCCGAAATATTCGAATCAGCTTCGGTGAAACATAAACATATCTTTAAAAACACTTAAGGAAATTTTGTCTAGAACAAATAAATATATTAATTTCGAGACTTTTCCGTCAGATAAAAATATAATATAATTAAAAAGTCAGATTTTTGTCAGTATTCTTTGAGAAATAAATGGGTCGTTATAGTCTTTTGCAGAGTTTCATCAAGTATTTTATTTTAGGTATGGATATTGCCTCCTACATTTTAACACGCCGTAAGCGAAAGAAAAGAAGCAGATGAACATCGTCCCGTCTCCTAGAGCAGACGGGCTGGCATGTTCCCGGATAACTCGGGATGAGACAAAATTACAGCGGAAAAAAGAGACAGTGAAATCGGAGATGATTTTTAATGAGATATCGGGGCGCGTGTGCTGAGATGGCCTGTGGTCATTCGAAGTGAAATCATTCATTAACGGAGTAGCGGGAATCTAATTTTTGAAGAGGGCGAAGCAGCGGTCAGTTTTAACTCAGACATCGTAGTTTTAAAGTGCGCGTTCGTTTTCGAGTATACACGCTTGTTTGTGCGTGAATTGTTTTCGTTTTTGCTGAAAGAGCTCGCACCTTGCGATCCGTGGACAGAACTTTAAAACGGTGGTTGTGTTTGAAACTCCGTAGCTTAAAAATTACATGAGTGATTTGAATGAGTTGTGTACTAAAAGAAAGCTTATGAATTGGGCTTCTATATCCTAGGTTTTGAAAGTGCTACATGCAGAACTGTATTACAAAAATGGTCCTGTCATTTGGGTTTCCTTTTGGTTTTATTCACCCTGTAGTTGTGTCAAATACAAGCCAATGCCCGAAGATGGCCCTGCACATGTGATCGAAACGTCGATTAGGTACTTATGCAAGCTTTTGCGGCAAGGCCTTGTAAACCGGTTGTTCGTCCAAAAAATCTCTACGGGAGGACATAATATGTTATCGGAATGTAACGATATAGGCCTACTATTAAAGAATGTGCAATTTGAGAGAGAACTACAGTGCAATGCGCTTAATCAAGCTTTAGGATGAATGTACGGTTAATGCTTTTGTCATTTTCTTTTGACAGCTTTTTAACACATTCATTTCGAATGTAATATGTTCGGAGAAGATGTTTACTTCGAAGCACGCGGCGCTGTGGACTCTCTCTGGAGGGTTCCGTGAAGAGAAATAGTTCAATGTCCGCCACATGCACAGCTCGTGTAGGCCGTTTATCGCCACAGGGACTATTACCCCGTAAAGGATTTTTATCACCAATCCGGGCTATTAAAGTGCGTATAAATGCCATATCTAACAAGCAATTGCTGGTGTTTTTGTTTAAATCACATTCATACCTGTCACAAACAGATCCATTTTCATGACGGTATCCCTCGGAGCCCTGCAGTTTCATAACGGCAAGATTTACGGAAGGAGTAAGACAAACTCTAGGCTGCATCGATGCTGGAAACAAATATACCAGACACTGAACCTCACAACTGCCTTGCACTTTGTTACCACTAAATACTCGTTTGTTTATCTCGATTCTTTTGTAAGATATTTAAAGTGAAAGAATCTCTCTAAAAGAGTAGTCAAGTTGGAGCAGTGGCCATTTCCTTGCCTTCTATCTCCGAGGCCCGGGTTCGAATCCTACCCAGGCCGAGGATTGGGATTTCTGTTCCAATGTGAAACCTACAGGAGCTCTTATAGAAAACGTTCCAGAGTTCTCCCTAAAAGAGTTCTGACCTTAAAAAATGAATTTTCTTCATCGTCTTCTTCCTCTTGGTTTCTCAAGGCTTTCGAGCTATTTCACAGTGCTTGGGCATTTAAAAAAAACGTCTTGTTTTTATTACCACAAAAATAAATAAACTACTACCCACAAGCATTTCAAAACCGCTTTGCTTTTTATAAAACAGATCCTGCACTTTCATTTGTATGTAGCAAAACTTTTATTCGTCAAATTCTCTGCCACAAACTATAACATCCTCTTAATTTCTCTTTAGAACACAGGGAACGGTCATAAAAATACTCTTCAGTCTCAATGCAGCTGCTGTTAAACCTGATTATTTTATTTTTTTATCATACTGCATTGGAAGTTGGCGACTGTCAAAGACCATTCGCAACGAGGCATCACGTCTGATTTGCCGGTCAGGAACGAATCCACGCCTAAATGACCGACTAATAAGCCACTCCGATTTTTAATAGTCATAGACTTTTTTTCAATTTGGGAAAACCCATTTGATATGACGACCAAGATTATTGGCGATGCTTAATGACAGGCGGCGAGGCATTCGTACTCTTGTCAGTTTCCCCGCGCGACCCAGCTGGCCCCGGGTAGTTCATCACTTATCGGGGGTAGATAGCGTTTGGTATCCCCAAGAGGGCGGTGTGAGGTGTCGTTGTTGTGTGAGGCCAATCGAGACTGATTTGCCACCTGCTTCGATTCTTTCTTTTTCTGGTTCATCGATGGCAGGTAGTGACCATCGTCGGGGCGATAAAAAGAATCCGCGACCCGAACCCAAGAGTGCCGAATCAATAATGCATTACGACGCACCAGTTATGACATTTCTCGTTTATTGGACCGAGAATAAAAACGTAAAAAAAGGAGGCCATTGTGTTCATCTGACTTATTTTTGACATTCGTTCGGAATGGAATAATCAGGTCAGGTTTCAGATTCCGTTGGGTCGGGTATTACTTGTATACGATTGCTAATACTGAAATAAGACAGGAAAACAAAAATGGATTTTTTTTTTAAGAATCTGACTGCGGGATTGAAATTCTAGTAGGTTGAAATTTCATCCTTTAGGTTTACTAATGGTGCTCCTGAAATATATTTGCAGTCTTTGCGGAGTGATCCATCATTTCGGTATAGGTAAATACCTTAATTCCTGTTTGTACCATAAACCAGGATTTTGTTTTACCCATTCTATGAATAGCCACGCCATGCTGACGCAGTCCGCGTTGTCTTCTGTATACAAACCTGCAAAAGCTTCCAATGGACACACACTGATTGAAAAAATTGTATTTGACCAGCAGGGGAAAAATGACTGAAGAATGATGGACAAAATGGTTGAATGTGAGACAGGTAGTGTTCGTAGATCAGATAGATAAATCTTTCATTCACAGGACGCGGTAACCCACGCACGTACGGCTCACCTCCCCCCCCCGGTTTTTCAAAAGTACGTCCTGCAAAGGTTGACCTTTTTTCACTATTCTAATATGGCGCGGGACTCGGGCGAACGCCCGACTGCGATGACGTATGAAATCCAACACGTGCGTGTGAAATCCAACACCGACTGTAACCACGTTGGTAATTGCTTTGCTCAAGTAACTTGCTCGTTGGGAAAATTCAATTTAACATCTCGTTGTTAAGTCGGAGGGAGAAAGGTCACTTTTTGTGCAGATACTTTTTGGTATTTTTTTTCAATGAGCTAATTTTTAACTCGTCATTACATCGTCTTATTGGCATTCACAAATTCAGGCAAAATTTCAGACCTTTTAGACAGGACGTGTAATTAAGATGGGGCTTATGTAAGGATTTTCTTCAACAGATCTCCAAGCATTGTTATTTTAGCTATTTGTTCCTTTATTTTGATCTTTGATGAAATCTTCAGATCTTGTAAAAAACAATATCCCTTTTAAAAAAGTTCAAAAGTGATCAAAAAGAAGGTTTCGGTGTGTCAATATAGACAAATAAACTCAACTAAACAAACAAAGAGCAAGCTACCACCAAGAACAAAATCAACCCATCAGCTTTCTGAACAGGTGTTTGTTACCGAAATTTGCTTCTTCTTTTCTGGTACAGATGTTACGCCGTGCTGTTTCCATTGGAGACCAAGTCTGTCATTACCATGGGCCGTACGCGCATAGCTATCCTCGTCATCTGGCTCTTCTCGCTAGTCATGTGCGTCCCAGCCTTCTTCTCAAAGGTAACGTTTCTCGTCTCGAAAGAACAAAATACCCTTGGCCTTTTAGCGGCGAACGACCGTCCGTTCTCTACACTCTAAAGAGTCTCTGTTCAGATTTGACCGGGGTTCTATTTGGATTAATACATTTCTGTGTCAAAATGACACTTTTGCAAAGGTCTCCGGGTCAAAACTATATGGCTCGTAGATTGATTCAGAGAAGTGTCAATATTGACCCGGAAAAGTGTCAGCTTTGACCTGGAAAATGTCGTTTTGATTCGAGAAAATGTCAATTTTGACCCGGAAAAGTGTCTTTTGACCCGAGATAGTGTCAATTTTAACCCGGTAAAGTGTCAATTTTGTTCTAGGAAAGTGTTTATTTTGACCCGGAATAGTGTCAGATCTGACCCAGGAAAGTTTCAATTTGGACCCGGGAAAGTGTAAATTTTTACACATAAAGTGTAATTGAGCCCGGGAAAGTGTCAATTTTGACCCGGGAAAGTGTCACGTTTGATCCGGAAAAGTGTCAATTCGACCCAGAAAATTCTAAATTTTGACTCAGAAAAGTGGAAATTTTGACCCGGGAAAGTGTCAATTTTGATCCGGAAAAGTGTCAATTCGACCCAGCAAATTGTAAATTTTGACCCGGGAAAGTGTCAAAATGTACACTCTTGTGGGTCAAAATGACACTTTTCCGGGTCAAAATTGACACTTTCCCGGGTCAAAACTTGGGGTGGACCTATCTTCAGGAACTGGGAGGGGGAGGGGTATTGATATGAAGGGGGCTGTTGTTGAGTGAAGCCTTGTTAGGGGGTCGTGGGACTTGTCCCCTGGGAAGAGTTTGAAATTTACGGAACTTTAGCATTCCATTTAGGTCTATTGTTTTTGGCCACATTTTACTAGTGTCATAACATTAGTCTGCGGCTGACCGGGAGCGTTGGGGGAGGGGAGGAGGGTGTTAAACCCCACCAACACCCCATCCTAGATCCGCTGAACTGCCTTGTGCTTGCTTTGCTGTATTTTTTTTTTTTTGGAAACGGCTGAAATCCAATCTCTCCATAAGGGTCGTACTTATTTTGTACGTCCCAAGTAATGAAAAACAGCTGATTTCATAATTATTTCTGGTGTCGTGCTATGTCAAGTACCTTTCAAGCTAACGATTTGTAAACATTTATGGACTTTGCATTCCCAATTTTCACCTAAATTCATCATTTTACACCAACGTCTGCTGAATTATAGTGCACAGGGTGCGAGCATCGCTTCATATTAATCAATTAAGGGCCACCTTCATCTTTTTGCTTGTCAACGACTGCTCCGCCTCTCAATTTTCCGCGTCTCGGTTATTATCGCCGAGGTTGCTCGCGGTTCTCATTCATCAATACTTCCCTAAAGTCCTTTCTACCCTGTCGTTTACCAGTGCGGCCCCGCGACCTAATACCTCCACCGTCCCCGGCCGAGCGCCGGCGCGTCGGAGGATCGTGCACTGTTTTTTTCGCTGGGGAGTTCTTCTTTCATCTTCGTCAGCGAGTCCCAAGTGTTCCATCATTCCGCTTAAGTCAAAAATAGGAGACGAAGTGTGATTCTAATTTATTTCTAGTCCCTTAATTGTAGAGGATTTGGGGCTTACACTCTTTTAGCGCTAATCATGAAGAATGACCATGCAGTCAAATAAATCGGAGTGATGAATGCTTTAGTCTTGACGTCGGATGGGCTAGGCTCGAGTCCAAACTCTGACGAGCCACTTTTTCAATTTTCTCACGAAAACGTAAAAAAAACCCAACCAATTATAGCCGAAATCTTAAAAACAAACTGCTAATAGCAGTTTCACTTTTAATTGCAAAAGAATATTACACGAAATCATAGGGGGAAAAAAATAATGTAGAGTATTATCAGCGAGTAAATCAGTGGTGTTTCATTAACAGCTCTTTTTGACCAAAAAATATATTTTACGATCGATGTACATGTATAAGCTTCGATTGTGCACGAAAGATGGGCTTGAAAATAAGACCAACAGAGGGCGCCCGTGCTCTACGATGGGGCCTTCGAGACTTCCAAATAAAAAACAATTCATCCAAAAACGGCTCGGCTTAAAAATTAATGTAGGTAATTGCAAGCACTAAACCCGACCTTGTTAAGTTGTAGAGTGTTAGTTTAACACGCAAGCTGGAAAATCGATTAATTAGCTTCTTAACACTTTTCGAAAATCTTTGATTTTATTAGTCGCCGTTCGAGCAGAAAATCACACTTAGCCTAAAACAGCTGACGGTGCACAGCCAGAACAAGGCTACGCAAATTAACTGTAATCCTAAAAAAAATAATTATTTCTAATTTCGCACTACTTATACAGCACTTCATTGCTTTCCTCTTCTGTGAGATCATTTCAAGTGTAAAAGATTGGACAGCTTCAAGGTCAAATAGGGCCGCTTAAAGATGATTGCTCTGGGCTGTCCTAATAATTTGTTGAGCTCATCAATTGTCGTTTTTGGATTTTAGTGTTGTTAATAAAACCATTTAGTGGCCCGAAAACTTTCATTGAAATGCCTGGACTCTTGTGTAATGGTTATATCATTCGACCACTGGAACATCTTGTCTGTCGATGGCATGTTGATCATTATTTGTTTCTAATAAAATAAAGGGCAAGACATTTCTAAAGGCAAAAACTGGTGAACACTCATACACCTCTGTCAAAATTTACAGTACACAAATAATGTGAAGACTGTTAAATTTCGATTTTCTTTTCCGAACGAAATTTAAAGGAATATAATGTCCTGTAAACAAATAAATTTGCCTGTTTGTTTTTGCAGGCCTTTATACAGTTGTAAAAATTAGTTTTAAATGGCGCGCTCCAGTTCAAACATTGCGCACACTATTCAAGTTCAGAACGAATTAGGAGCGTTGCACTTTTCTTAATTCTAAAGTTGATATTAAGAAGTTACTTACTGTCTTGTCATGGGCCGATTTTTGTTGTCTCATTGGAAAGCTCATAACTAATGTAATGCTAGAAATTTATCATTTCAGTTTGAAAATCTATTTTTTTAAGATGCCACACCTAAAAAGCATGTAAACACCAACTTTAAGCACATCGACTGATGTACCAATTGGGCCCATTTGTTCACCATTCTTTCACTTTTAGAAAATCTGGGAATTGATCCGAGGTGGCCTCGAGTGGACCGTCTGCGGCGACGGCTGGCCCACCGACGCGGTCACCATGGGCTACACCATCTACATCTGCGTGCTGCTGTTCGGTGTCCCAATCCTGATCATAGCCGTCTGTTACATCTTGATCATCGTTCGTCTGTTCACGGGCAAGCGTCTGACGCGGCACATGAGGCCGTTGTCGGCGGCCAACGTCCCCTTACAACGGATGCCGGTGGGAGGGGGCGCTCCCACGTCGGTGACCAGGGAGGAGACGGTGGACTGCCCCGGGTCGGACGACGAGGGTGACGGTCGTCACGGCTCTGTGGAGGGAAAGCGGTGCGGTGGCTACTCCGCGGTACCTACAGGGCGCCCTCAGCGGAAACAGAGGACTGAAACGCAGAAACTTCAGGTGTGTTGAATTCGCATGTCACATATCAGGAAATAAAAAGGCGGATCGGGGAGGTTTTTTTTAAAGGCGGTTGGGGAGGGGGGGGGGGGGGGGGCAACGTAGGCCTACCCCAACCCTGCATAAAACAAGTTTCAATTTTTAGTAATTAAACTCCAAGAGTGAAGACCATTGACATTTTAATAATGCGTGTCACCCTTGACCCTCTCCGGTTGTCCAAACATTTTTACATTTCAGAAGAGAGAGTGAGAGACAAAAGAAATGAAATTCGAAAAAGAGCGCCCTCAGATTCAAATAAGGTCCACTCCCTAGCAAGGGCGGATCCAGAACACAATTTTTGGGGGGCCAAAAAAAATTTGGTCCTCCAAAAAAGTGGGTCAAAGAAATTACGGCGTGGGGTTCGGGGCCCGCTTAAGGGCCCCGAAAATTTTTTGGATTCTAGATGCTCTGTGGTGCGATCTGAGGCAACTTCTGACCACTTTAACCAATGTTTTTTTGAGGAAAAGATGGTGGTGTACTCATTGCCTGCCTTTTTTTGCGATGTCACATAAAAAAAAAATTGGTTTCGTTTTTTGGGGGGGGGGGCCATGGCCCCCTTTGGCCCCCCCCCCCCCCCTGGATCCGCCCTTGCTCCCTAGTCTTTAATCGGCCAATCAATTCTTCATTTTTTTCACCTCCTCCTCTTATCAGCGCATCGTAGCCATGCTCATCGTGGTGGTGGTCGTGTTCCTCCTCTGCTGGGGTCCCTTCTTCACCTTCGCCGTCCTGCACCGGGCCGGCCTCTCCGGAGTCCCGGGCTACAGCGACCAACTCTGGAAAATCAGCCTGGCCCTGCACCTCCTGGCCTACGCCAACAGCTGCCTGAACCCGTTCATCTACGCCTTCATGTCGGAGAGTTTCCGGGAAGGGTTCATGCTGGCTCTACGCACGTGTATGGGGGGTAAGCAAGGGCAGGGCAGGCGGCGCATCAGCCAGCAGTCGACGTACTGGAGCGCGGTGAACACGCGGAACATGTCCCTCTCCTCTGCCAACTCGCCCCACCGGATCGGAGCGACTGTTTGAATTCTTCAAATATGACAAGAAGGTTATCAGCTTCGGTCCAAACATTTGGCCACCGTATCAAATGAACGAAATGAGCAATGCTCATAGCGATTTGTGGCAATTTTTTGCACATCAACAGTTGGAAAATGTGTGATATCTTTGAGTGGTGGCAGTTTGTTGAGTGTTATCAGTTTTGATTTATTTTTTCAAAATGGCCGCCAATGTGCTTGTTACCGGATTAAATTATGTGATAACAATCATGTTTTGGCTGCCATTGTTTAAAAAAGTGATAGCATCCCAAAAGCTGCCACATCTGCAATGCTCACATTATTTTCCAACAACAAATCAGCATAACTTTGTCAAAAATCACAATAACTGAAGCATTATTCCCTCATTTTGATACCGACCAAACCCCCAGACTGATGGCCTTTGGCAAAGACCTTCATGAGAACGCAGGGATTCCTTTACTTAAGCCTCGTCAGTTTTACGTGTGGCGTTATTTCTAAGTGCATTTCCCGAACTTTGGTTCTATAGCTTCAGTGTTGTTTCAATCGATCAGCTACAGCATTTTAGTGGTAACCACTTGACTGTTACTGCCAAATTAATGTTGTTGTTTTGTAAATTTGGTTATAAATACATTGTTGTATTATTATTTATTTCTGGTAATGAAACCAAGGATTCCTCAAAAGTGCCCTAGGCACTGTAGCTCGTAAGCCTGCAAAAACCTGTAGAGAGAAGACATTGAGAAGAAATTACAGTTTTCAAGGTGGGAGGAAAACCCCAGAAGCATAATGTTCTGAGGGAAAACCCACGGAATCAGGCAGGGACTGAAAACCAAATCCACATATTGGCCCAGGCGGGATTCGAACCCGGGTCACAGCGGTGGAAGGCGAGGAAAGTAAGCTACACCAGAATTTGGTCTAACTCTGCTCAGCCTTACAATAGGTGCGACTTCAAATGTGTAGTTTTTTTTACCAAATTAATCAATTTCAGCCAAGCATAAGTAGAATTTGTTGTATTGCACCCTTGTGATGTAAGTTATGCTAAGGTCTAACCCTTGACCTATTTAAGGGGCCCATGTAATGTAATTCAAGTGTTTAATGGAGTCATTGAAAATGCACCTTTGTGTCCCGTTTAACCTTATTTTCAAGTTTCGTTTGGCCATTTTCAAAGGTATTCTGTGGTGCCTGTTTGGTTTTAATGCTTATAATGCGAATTTTGATATTCATGAGCAAAACTGTGATGTCATTCTGTGCAGAAACCTCAATGTTACAGCTATCTAAGCACCAAAAATGTTGCTAGAATGTGGATATTTTGCTGTCATAAATTACCTTTTCTTCGGTGACTCGTTGTTGTGTCAGTACGTGGCAGTAAGCCAATAAGCAAACCTTTTTCACAAATGTTTTCAATGAGCAATTGCTAGGTTCACAATTCGAACAGAAAACCCCTAAACTGAGCAGTGCCCTCCTGAAATGACATCACAGCAACAGCGACCTCTATTGTTTGGACAAGCACGTAAACTGTGAAATGTTTAAAACGTGCACTTTTCAATAGAATTAACCGAAAAGGGATGTCAAATAATTTTCATACATTTAAGAGGAGTAGAAAGTTGCACAAAATATGTTTCTAAGAATAATTCATCGTAAGGCCCTTTATGCCTCTCATGCATGGGGAAAAAAATCGAGAAAAATCTTTGCAATCTTGAGTCCAGTGTTTTAGGTAATGCAATGTGAGTTTTTGCACTGAAATAACACAATAGACACAACAAAACCCTTGTAAATAACATACTAAGTTGTATTGTATAAAATTGTAAATCTTGTATTGAACTGAAATTAATGTATTGTGCACAAATTATGTTTGTTTTTATTACATTATCTTATTTAATGCTGCATGCGTCGTTGTTCTAAGCGAAAATTGAAATACACTGATAGACAAACAGATGTCATATCGCTGCATGTTTTATGTAATCAACGAAATAACTGTGAGAATAAAAGTAAAGTGTGACACTAACGGAATTATTTCATCATAATCCCGTCCTCTCGCGGACGCAGTAAAACGTGTACAGCGCCCTCAATAGTTTCACTGCCCGCGACCAAACTTTTGGCGAATGGACGCCGTTCACTGGTTTGCGACTGGCGTAAGATTTTACCACCATTTTTGTTGACAAGTAGGCAAAGTTCGACAGATAATTTCACCCCCACGTAATCAGCGATGACTTCGGAAACACTGCGGAGGAATAGGCAGGTGGATCTGGACCAGCTTACGAAGGACTTCACGAAGTGGCAAGGGGTTTGTTAAAGTTTAATGGTTTTTTTTTTAATTTTAAAATTAGACTCGGTTTCGGTAGGCCGTAGGCTATTTACACACGTGAACGTGGCTACAAATTTTGTCACGGTTTGTTTATATTCTTTGGACTTTCGACATGTTCGAAATTTGGGGTTGGAGACCTTCCACTTACAATCTCGAAATGATTTAATGAGCAGCATAAGAGTTCAAGAACTTCTAAGTTCTAAACAAACCCTACTTAGTATAACTCCCGCCTTAATTCCCCCCCCCCCCCCAAAGGTATTAAATTGGAATCTTGGGGAAAGAAAGTACTTGTTACATAAATATGGATATTTTGGGAATTTCTCGGGACAATATAATACGTAACAAATTTGAATAAATCTTGTGATGATTGATGTAACCTCACCATGGTAACAATTTTTCAGAAGCACCAAGATTTGGTCCTCCAAAACAGCAACTTGAACCAGGAATTGAAGGACCTGCTAGATCAACGAGAACAGGACAGGATAGCAACAAAAGCTACCGAGGACGGTAACTCTTCCTTCATAGACCTTAGTTTCCCATTTCATTAGAAATATTTTATTTTGGTTTCTTTTGTCTCTAATTGATTCTTACAGAATAATACAAGTTCTTATTTACCCCTAGCTGGATAGTTTTGTTCTTGGTGTGAGTTTTAAGCATGATTACTCTTTTCATTCTCACGTGGATATTAAACAGGCCCTATGTTATATTTTTTTCCATGATATTTGTCTTTTTTTTCTGTGCAGAGCTGAAGCAGCTCCGTGGGATCATAGGCAGCCTGCAAGACACCTTGGCCCAGAGATGTGACTTAGAAGGTAGCCCAGGTGTATTTTATAAAAAAATAATAAGAATTACTTCAATTAAAAAAAAACACTTTCTTTTGATTTTGTTATTTGTCATCGTTGAAAAGGCATATTTGTTTTTGCAGATGAAAACAAGAGTCTTAAAGAAAAAGTTGACAGAATGGAGGAGAAAGTCAAAACCCTGAAAGAGGTGGGTAGAAGATTATTACAGAGACAAGAGATTTTTGTTCCATATATGCTCTAGAATTTGTCATTGTTTGACCATGAATGTCATGCATTATCTTCAAGTGATCGCCCTCCTTTTTTGTTTCGAAGGGAGGGGGTGGAGGGAAGGAAGGGGGAGGGGGGGGGGGGGTTGGCCGAGGTTTTGGGGTATTTACTATCCAATAATTTTTTTAAACAATATCCTGGACAACGGTTGCCAAACTAATTTCCTCCAAAAGAAGGCATACACTTTAATTTCAGTTTTCTCTATTTAATGGAAATGCTTAAAGATTTCTGACAGAGTTGTCACGTTGCCACAGTGAACTTTCCTCTTCCTTGATCTTCTTTGATATATATTATAGAGAACTAATCGGCCTGGGGTAATTATGGTTGACATTGTTTATTGCAAGGATTCAAGGGCGGATCCAGGGGGGGGGCCAAAGGGGGCCATGGCCCCCCCCAAAACGAAACCAATTTTTTTTTTTTTTATGTGACATCGCAATAAAGGCAGGCAATGAGTACACCACCATCTTTTCCTCAAAAAAACATTGGTTAAAGTGGTCAGAAATTGCCTCAGATCGCACCACAGAGCATCTAGAATCCAAAAAATTTTCGGGGCCCTTAAGCGGGCCCCGAAACCCACGCCGTAATTTTTTTGACCCACTTTTTGGGGGGACCAAAATTTTTTTTGGCCCCCTCCAAAATTGTGTTCTGGATCCGCCCTTGCAAGGATTATTTATGTTTATCATATATTCAGGAAGGCCAGACAGCTCTCGTTGAAGTTGAGGCACGCTTGGAGCAAGTCCACTCGGAAGACAAGATGCAGATGCAAGAGGCTCATCACAAGCAAGTCAAGCAAAGTGAGATACCCACAGTCTCATCTTAAACATGCTTAAAAATCTGACATTTCTATGGCTAGATATTGACTCTGTGTCCTGATGAGCATCACTCAATGGTAAAAAAATGAAAAAAGAGCAACAATATCTTAAGGTATTTTAATTTTGGGAGCATCTTTCCAGAGTGTTGGGCACTTTTGAAACACAAGTTTGGTCTTCAATACAGACAAATTTTTATGGTGTCCCCACAAGTACAAAACAAGTATAGGGGTGTGTGAGTATTGTGAGAGGATAGGGGTCGTGCGACCTGGCTCATTTTAAAAGGGTCCGATAATTAGCAGCCTAGGTGCTCTTTCTCCTATTCACCTGCAGTGGAGGAGCAAGCTAGGGCCCTTCAGCAGGCGGTGAGAGACAAGTCGGCCGAGATCAAGCAGCTGCAACAACAGCTGGCTGAGGCTGAGAAGCACCGACAGACAGACATAGTCAAACTCAGACTGGAGGTAAGACTAGTAGACAGAAACTCTTGAAGAAACTTTGGATTTTGTAAAGTTGACGCACTAGTGATACTTTTGAGTATGTTGAAAATTAATCCCTTCAAAAACTTTTTATGGGGGGGGGGGTGTCTTGAAATTAGTCATACCTGAGTTAAAATCTCTAGCCATATTAAAAGTTAGGTTCATGATGAAAAATGACCAAAGTAATGCTTGTGTCACGGGACACTTGAGTGGCTTGTGAGTGGACTATGGCCTGGATGGACTTGTGATGGATTGGTGATGACTTGTGATGACTTGCGATAAGTTGTGATGATTTGTAATGACTTGTTGAAACTTGTGATTTTTCATGATTGACTTGGGATTGAGTTTTAGTTGATACTTGTGATGACTTGTGATGACCTGTGACAACTTCCGATGACTTGTAATTGACTTATAATTGACTGTGAGTACTTGTGATGATTTGTGGTCATTTATGATGCCTTATGACAACTTGTGATTGACTTGTGATTGACCTGTGAGTACTTGTGATGACTTGTGATTGACTATTGATATGGCTTGTAATTAACTTTTGATTGTACTTGTGATAACTTGTAATTGACTTATGACAACTTGTGATTAACTTATGATTGACTTGTGATTGACTTATGATTGTACTTGTGATTGTACTTGGGATTGACTTGTGATTGGCTTGTGATTGACCTGTGGTTGACTTGTGATGACTTGTGATGACTTGTGATTGACTTGTGATGACTTGTGACTGACTTGTGATTTACTTGTGATGGTTTGTGATTGTACTTGTGATGATTTATGATGACTATATGTGACTTCGCAGTATGACGCCAAACTCCTGAAGTTACAGAGTGCTAGGAGTAGTCTCCAACGCAGCAGTGACAAGCCCAGCTCAGCCAGTAGCCTCATCTTCAGGGAGGTGCGTAAAGTATGGCAGCATTCAGATTGATCCTATAAATAATATTTTTTTCCGAATACACAGCATTCACTGAGCTGAAACTTCATCAGGTTAGTTGTTCAGCACCCTTCTTTAGATTTTGAGCACTTTTGTTGCTTCAAACGAACACAATGCACGAATGACAAATGATGGACGCTACCTTTAACAATTTGATCTTTCTTGGGTACATTTTCCACTGAGTGACTGAGACTGAAGGGGGGAGGGGTCTGCCTGCCCCCCTCCCACTTCAGCATTGAGAATTTAAAAAGAAGGACAAACATTGTTTTGTGAGGGTTGAGTATGCTCATTTCGAAGTTTTCCAATCTCTTTACAGAAAATGCTGAATGCCCAGGCTGCGTCGGAGAGGGAGGTTTTGTCGCTGCGGCAGACAGTCGGCGAGCTCAAGAGAAAGCTGGATAACAGGCAACCACCTCCCAACGCTAAGCGTAAACACTGAGTGCAAACCATATGGGCTGCTAAGCGGAACAAGATTGCTTAGCATATCTAATAAGCAAATATTGGCCGAGATCCACTGTTCGTGATAAAAGACTGTGCCAAGCAATGAATGGAATAAGGGCCCATGTGAGACCTCACTGTTTCATAGTTACTTTCCTTTTAGCTAGAAAACCCAAACTTTTTCCTACTTTTTTTGCTAACAAAGTTTCTTCCAAGAGTTCAAAAGAAGTTCATTCACCCAGAAAGATGAGTCTGCAGTTGCATATTTGCTATTTTGTTTAGTTGAGATCAAAGTTTACGAGTTCATGCATGATAAGAATGTTTGTTCAAGCGGAAATAGATATGAACTATTGCATTGGCTTAAAGGCAATATACAACATTTGCAAACATCCAAAAGCAAACTACCAAATTGTGATAAAGTGCCTTACTTGACTGTAAGTCAATAATAGTCTCGAGCAACCTGTGGAATCACGGCACCTGGTGTACTGTCATTTTCAAGAAAAATGGAACGTTTGTATCAATTTCCAACGATGGTTGGCTGACCATCGTTGGAAAAAACAAATACTTTCAAATACTTCCCTTAATTTACCAAATTTAGTTGGTCCACATTTTGTTTCCAATCGGTTACATATCTGTGAACGGGTGCAAACCAGCTAGTCTGGTTCCCTTACCCGACAATTCCCTGACGTCTCTAAATTGCTTCGTTTTGTCTGGTCTCTGAATTAGGGTTAGGGAACCAGATTACAAGAACATAATTTTTTTCTTGGTTTTTCCAGCATCTTTGAACACAAAACTCGAAACTGGTCAGCGTAACAATATTTGCTACTAGCCCCCAAATCCATCCATTTCTGAAAATTACAGCAAAAGCAATCCCTTTTAATCTGATCAAAGGCCTCAGAGTATTTCTATTAACACTTGACTGTTGGCCATAGGATTGATACTCCGCTGTACATAGTTAATCCATTAGGTAATCAAGAAGTTGAAAATTTCAACATGTTGTTTTGCCGGCCATTCACTGTAAAAGCACTGTATGCTCTCATTGCTCGGTGCTTTCCGAGAACTTACAAGTTCACAAGTGTACTCGGGTGGGACTCGAACCCACAACCTCCAATTGACTAGTGCAGATGTCTTACCAGACTAGTAGGTCGGCTGGCTGGTTCGAATAAAATATAACAGGCTGCACTCCATGAAAATTACTTTTGTGAACAGACAGAACAAGGGGCGAGACCCAATATTTAATTCCCTGAAATCCATCCAGAGCCAAGATGAAGTGATTGATCAAACGAAGCAAAATTATACATTTTTGTGGCCAGTATTTGAACATTTACTGTCATTAGGCACAAACAAAACCATGATATGTGTTATTAACCACACATTTTAATTACAATACATATTCAGGTATCACATTAGTCTCATTAAAAAAAATTGCAATTTTAACAATTTTTAAAAAGTAGAAAGAAGCCACCAAAATAGGGGAATAAATGTGTAATTGGGAGGTATTAAACACTGTATTTAAGACCAGTTGGAGTCTGGATGATGATAATTACCCGAGCCGAATTCATAAATATCTTTTCGGTCAAAAAAAAAAATTAAAAAATCAAAACTCTTCGGTCCACAAGAGTAAAAAAAGTAAACAAGTCAACAAAACACCCCTCAAAGGCCCTCTGGTAAACAGCTCCTTAAATGGAGATTGGCGCGTGTGTCGCGCGTACGTACTGCATGTTGTGTGAATTTAGGACTATGGAATACTGACTCGTAGTATTGCGCATGCTAACATGAGGATTGTGAACATTCAACCAATAAAACGGTGCTTGCAACGCATTTCATAGGAGTCCAAATTTCATGCGATACTGGAAAAGTGTTTAAGACCAGCCAGCCATGTCTTTATCAGCCATTTAAAACGGGCCACGTGATGGGCTCTCGGCCATTAGGAATGGGTAAACTGTCTAAGGTAGTTATAAATAAATAATAAAAATTTGTAAGAATGTTCAAGACGATTGTTCAAATTCTTTTTTGGTATTTATGGATAGGAAAAAATATCCGATTAAAATATAAAAATGAATAAAACTGCTAAATACTGCTGATTAATATAATATAAACTAATTTTACGGAACAGACACAAAAACTAAAAATGCACTCGCGGATGAACGGTTTTAGGCTTCCATTACACAATAATTTTTGCAACCGACAACAAAAGTTAATTTTATCATTAATAATGTTATCTGTGATCAAATCTCAGGAGACATCATAAGAACCCCACGAAATATACAATGGTAAATTTTAATATTAAATACACTAACAGCACCTGAAAAATGTCAGTAGAAGTTCAAATCATTTATATACACTCCATGTCAAGGTATATAGGTCTGCATGCACGTGCACTCCACAGAATTGAGCAAAATTTACAAGGCACACATCACATTTTTTATACAAAATATTTGTTCCGTCACTTTTAAGAGAAAATATAACTATCATTAAACTCTCCGAATCACATCCTTTTCATGCAGAAAAACAACTTTGGGCATGCAAAGTTCCGACTAAATAAATTAGATTACAATATTTTGCATTCTCATAAGGAATAAAACAATCCTTCGCATTAATTATATTGATTCTCAAAAAAGTCCAATATTTGATCAATTAAAAAAAATTAAAAAAAATTAGGCCATTTCTTTTTATTGCAATGTCGGAGTTTGGAGTTTTTATTTCTAAACTGCTTCCTGTAATACATCACTAAAAACTTAAACTACGAATTGTAACAGCAAAAATGTACAACGGGTGGAAAAGACCGTACCATTTGTAAAAAGCTGTTTCAACTGCGTAGTGATATGTGCAATGTAACTAAGGAAGACATACGTTGGGAGAAACAAAAATCTATCACCGCGGTATATTTTAACCACTGATGCCTGTGTCAGACTTTTGCAATAAACCAATGACCAATGAAATAAAATATATTAAAAAACCAATCAAGGATATGAAGACTACAAAATTGTGGATGAAAAATTAACAACACGAGCTCTAAATATTGCCAAGACTATTTGTTACGTTTGCTGGACATAGTTGTGATCATTTTTGTCAAGTTGTAGAAAAAATTGTGTCCTCTAGTGCCTTCTAGTGAAGATAAACAGCGCCCTCTATGAACCAGGTGCAAACCATATGCGACTGTCTGAAATAAATACAGCTATTATACTGAAATACAGAATACTTTCCAAGGAAATTTTACCCGCATCAAAACTGCTGAAGAACAAAAAATTAACACACCCCCCCCCCCCCCAAAAGAAAAGTAGCAGTGGTTATCTATTCGCCCTTGACCCGATTTCGGACGGGCGCCCCTTTGGGTTTTGACGTTCCCCAGAGGGCCTTTCTGGCCCCATTGTACATCTTGCCACACCAGTAGAAGTTGAGGACGTCCATAATCATGCCGCTGGGAAGCCAAGCGATGATGAAGGAGAGCGGAAGCGTAGCGACGGCTCGGGACACGTCGTGATAGACGAAGACGTAATACAAGGGAATGAAGGCAATGCGGCACAGGAAGAAAGTCGCGGTCATCATGAGGCCGTTGATGACGTACCACTTGTTGGATTTGTACTCGTGGACCGACATGAACCATCTGAAACACATCAAGTAAGTAAAGTCTGTCATGAGCCAATGGAGCTCATCAGGCCCGCATTTATCTCCGGTTTCCTTGGCACGAAACGGCAGAGAATATTTCTTTTACTCCTGGATGGGATGCTAGTCCATCGCAGGTTACTCCCCGGCTAATGCCGGTACCCATATATACTCCTGGGTGGTGAGAGGCAAGTGGGGGTGAAGTGGCTTGCCCAAGGACACGACATATGGCCAGCATATACAATCGAGAGAAGTCGCAGAAAAGAAAAAATGGATTTGAACCCCTGACCCTCTGATCGTGGGTCACAAACCCTAACCACTAGGCCCCTCTGTCCCAAAAAACATGTAACTGTAGGTTACTTATGTTCCAATACACACTGTTTTGAGGGAAATTAACGAGAAAACACTGGTTTAAAGATGACAGGTGATTGCAGCCATACAAATGCAAAGCAAGGTAGGATTTAGCATGGTACCACAAACGACCTGACTTTCAATTGCTACTGTCGCAAAGTTGGAAGTCTAGGATCTAACCCAAGGATACTACTTCCTTAGTACTACCAACTGGCTGTGAGTAAGCATGCTGAAAAAGAAAAAGTTAGCTGCTTTTACTTCCCGATCCGCTAAAAAATGGACGAATTAAAGAAGCTTTTTGGCTCAAAATTTTGTATGAAGTATAACTGTGTAATGACCCAAAATGTAATTGTCCCTTGTTATTTCCCCCAAAAGGAGAAGTGTGCCGATTTGTGACGACTGCGATTTCTCATCAGAGAGTCTGAGGTTGGAGTCTAGCTGCATGCCATAAGTTGTGTCCTTGGGCAACCTGCTTTACCTCCACTTGTCTCTCTTTACTCTGGGGTTCAAATGTGCACCAGTTTTGTCATGAATTTTGAAAAAAGCTGTTTTGGGCTAGCATATTATCCACAGGGAACAGAACAATTCTCAGCTGTTTTATGCCACGAAAACTGTAAAAAGAACAAACAAAATTTCGAAAATAACTCACCGTAGGTTGACAAAAAGGGTAGAGCACTCGGTCGTGATTCGATAATTTGCAAAGAAGGTCAGCACTCCATAGACCTGTACAATCGAGAGAAGTAACAGGAAAGAAAAAATGTACTTTAGTCCGTGTGAAGGATATTAATATCATAGTTTTGAATGTTCATCTTGTTCTCTTTTTAAACTTCAGCCATTTGTATCCGGCTCTGGACAAGGGCGGATCCGGGATGGGGGGGGGGGGGAAGAGGGGGCAACGGGTGCCATGCCCCCCCTCCAAAAAAAACCGAACCCAATTTTTTTTTTAAGTAACGTTGCAATAAAGGCAGGCACTGCATACAACACCATCTTTTCCTCAAACAAATGTGGTTAAAGTGGTCAGAAATTGCCTCAGATCGCACCACAGAGCATCTAGAATCCCAACAAAATTTGGGGCCCTTGAAACGGGCCCGGAACCCCACGCCGTAATAGTTTGGAACCCCCAAAAATGGTGTTCTGAATTCGCCCTTGGCTCTGGACATCGGGGCAGGCATATTACCCTATCTGCTTTTTTTTCTGTAAATGTTTGATATTTAATAAGTTGTGAAACCTACCACGTTGTTCAGAAAAGGGTAGAGAACAACGAAGTGATGAATGAGATATTGCCAGGATTCACTCAGGGGAAACCACCTCAGCATGACTATCAGGTCTGAAAAGAAAAAACAGAAAAATGGGGAATGATTAAAAACACGTATATGAAACATCTGGTAACAACTGTTCACTTCGGCAGTTAAAGGGAATATACAACATTTGCAAACATCGAAAAATATAACTACCAAGTTTTTACGAAATACCTTACTAGGATGTTGGTAAATGCCAGCCTAAAGCATCCTTTAAAATTATGGCACCTGGTGTCAAGTCATTTTCAAGAAAATTGTATTTTTGTATACATTTCCAACGGTGGTCGGCTGACCACCGTTAGAAAAACCTAACTATTTTTCAACTACTGCTCCAAATTTACAATTTTTCTCGGTCCAAATTTTGTTTGCTATTGGTTACATGTTCATGATCGGGTGCAGGCCAGCTAGACTGGTTCCCTTACCTTACAATTTTCTGACATCTATAAATTGATCCATTTTATCTTTAGTGGAGTCAGGGAACCAGACTACTTAAATATTTTTGTTTTTCTTGGTTTTTCAAGCATTTTCATAACACAAAACTTCAAACTTGTCAGTTAAACAATATTTGATCTATTACACTAACCCCTCAAATAGTTCATTTCTGAAAATTGCAGCAAAAGCCAATGATGTATATTCCCTTTAAGTTTTAAAATTTGGATTTTTTTAAAATTTGGATTTTTTTATAAATCTGCAAGCCAATAAATCAATATAGACTAGCGAGTGTTTGGTACTCAGATGTTAAAATGAAAAGTGAATAGTATGTAAACACTGGCAATCGTGGACCCACGACCAAAGGGTTAGGGCACAAACAATATGTCCACGATTGACCGAACGTCGTCGATTGAAATTCGTGAACAAAACCAATGAGAGCTGTTGCTAAAAAGTTTCAGTACAAACAAAGGAATGAGGATAAGGTGCAACTGGGGTTCCACGATTGCCAGTGTTTATACAAAGACATGAACTGGCGAAACTTGCACGCTCTACTGTCGTAATGAATTTGTAATTTAAGTACAGGGGCAAATACTTCACGACATTGATAGAGAGATCTCTAATGAATACAAAAATGAAATACCCTCAAAAAAATTCACACAGAGAGGGAGAAGACAGACTTCTAAAAGAGTAAATAAATAGGTGATTTAATTTAGACGTAATTATCCACCCACCGGCGATTAGAAAACCACAGATGATGCAGACATTCCATCTGGCTAGCTGGCTTGTACCCCTGCAGTGATGAAAAACGAAGACAATTGACGCTAATTTTCCAATCATGGGTTCACTGTCTGTGGTCAAAAACCTGATTTTTTTTTCTCAAAACACTACTCCTTGCAGAAAGTAAATGTGAAGATTTAATCATGAACACAAATTTGTTCATTTTGTTGGCCCACAGCTTCCAAGATATTTCTGATCGAGCTTGTGTTGAAAATCTAAAAGTTTGTGTTTGTTTTTTTTTTTTTTAATGCTGTTACAGGATTGAAGAAGATAAATCCCAGATTTTTCTTTTGATACGATTTATGCGATTCGCGCCTCAGCCGATCGGAGTTGACTTTACTAAATTGTGAAGTCATTTCATTCCCCAATCAGGACTAAACGTGTGATTGGTCAATTCGAATGCGGTGTTTTTGTAATACAACAGCAGCCGGGCACGTATCGCGTAACATAATACAGAGCGCGTGACCACAACCTTTGGTGTGTCTAGGGTATTTTTTTATATAAATCCAAGTCTATGACGCGACAATGGTGAATGACCGAAGTCCCGATATAGAAAGCGCCTGCTGATTGGTAAAAATCTAGAGGTCAAGATGCGGTTGTCTTGCATAATTAATCTTCGAATCTGCTCAAATGTTAAAGACCATGGCTTTTGCCATGGTCTATTACGTAGAATATGGTTTGGTTGGTGCTTAGCACAAAGTACACTGATTTCTTACCAGACTTTACACTGATTTTCTTACCAGACTTTATCAGAGCTGATTGAGTCATCTGTGACTAGAAGATAAATGCTCAGGACGCTCACAATTACTGCATTGATGTTGGAGACCGTCCTTAAGAGAGAACGGACAATTAACAGAAGGAAATCAATACAATTAATTTTTAGATGGTCTCTGTACATCTCCGGCTACTAATTTTATAATAAGTTTTTACAATTTTATAATATTAGCCCAAAATTCATACTGAAAGTATCAATGTATATGTTGTGATAAACCTACGTTTTCTATGATCCCTTTCATTTCAGTCGTTTTGATCAGTTTTGCTTCGCGCGCTTTAACCCTAAAAGGGCGGGGGGGGGGGGGGGGGGGGGGGCTCCCCACACTTTTTTCTGCGACACCCTTTCCTGACTTTTTAACATTGAGTCTTGCGCATCTTTTGATGCCAAAAACATAAAATTCCAACCATGGGTTACCGCGCAACAAACAATTTTTCATCGCTGCTCGTCTGAAAACTGAATTTCCCCATATGTAGTGTACACAAAGCAGAATTATCATTGGTGCATATGAATAATTAATTAGCCATAATTCCAAAACCCTTTGACCTATAGTCATCTAATTTTGTGGGTATGTTTGTATAAAGTTGTTCTAACTTCTATACATGGCCCAGTTTCATAATGTTTCGTCACTCAATGGCCGAGATTTGAGGGGGGGGGGGATCTACAATCATGACAATTATGTTTCAAGAAATTTCAAACCTTGTGTTCCAGTTAGCTTTATCGAAGCTGCTCATTCCTTTGTAGGTCCGCGAGTACTTGGCCGACAAAAGAGGGCTCACTAAGAACATGAGGGTGAAGAAGAAGAGAAAACTGGCAAACAACGCCGGGAGATACTCCGATGAGAATTCCCACGGATGTTGGTGCTCGGTAGCATTGGGGCTTTCCATTATTGTTTAAATCACCCTGAAGGGCAAATGTACTTGAATCACCAGATGATAAAAACTGACGACAACTGCTGCCCGAAGTCCGGTTATCTTGAAGACTCTATCTTATCTACAGGATGCTACAATTCTTGCACCACGAAAGAAGGAAGCCCTCTGGTATTTCAGTCAATAAGCATCAGCGATTGTTCATAACCTTCCGAAGAGTTGGTCCGCTAAGAAGCAGTCGCACATGTCCATTTCACATGTCTCATTCTCTTCAATAATCTGCACATCATCACATGAAATGTGGAATACAGACACGTGGGTGATTAACAAACAAAACAAAAACTGTTTAAATAAGACTCAATTGTCTACTCTACGCAGTCTCCAGCCTTTTTATCAAAGACAAAGACTGACAAGTACAAGTTTCATTATTCATTAGATAGATGTTTAATATAACGCCGTTATAAATATAAATCCCATATATTTATCAAATATCTTACAACGCTCCGTAATCCTCAGGCTCACGCAATGATTTAAGTCGATGGGCGACCTGGGCAACCGATCGTGCACAATACTGCCGAGTGCTAGCGCTGCGACCACAGATATCGCACGCTGTGTTCATGTGACTTTGTTGTGGGGTATTTTTACAAAACGTAGTTGCCTACCTGCAACTTTTACAGCCAGAGTGACGTAAAACTTCTGACCACTGATGAACAACTGGCCAAGGGCTGGCCTAAATTACGTAACACAAACAAAAAGGCGTTGTGATTATGTAAATTTCAAGTGCCAAGCACCATCGACAAAATTGTTATCGGCATCGAACGATAGTCTGACACCAAAATAAACGTGGCGCGAACTTGTGTATAAAACGTATGCTGGTACATTGGGAACACGACGATTACTTCCCATTTGGGGTCAAAGGTCATCAAAATGGCGGCCTCCATGAGCGGAACAACGCTTGCTTTGGGAGGAGCAGTTTTCATCGTGCTGTTACTTTTCCTGAGACTAGTAATCATTCTGAGGAGCCTCGGCAGAGGGAAGTTGAGTCGAGGAAGCAATGGGACGAGATTGAAAGTCTTGGTTATCGCAGGATCAGGTAAACTGGCCGTGTGAATCATTTCCTTGTTCAGTCGGACAACCTGCCTGAGCATAAGCGTTACCGTGCGGGCGTAATTAATGAGGGCGCTGTTTACTTGGTTGCGGACTGTGAATGTGATGATTTAGGGGTTTTTGGTTCATTTAAGTGACCAATGAGTCTCGATTTCTGTATTTTGCAAATTCGATTGTAAAAAAAACCCTATTTATTAATATTAGGCCTATTGATCAGCGTTTTGGCATTTAGTTTTTGAATTATTTTCCATTAAATCATGCAACTTGCAAGTTTTTGTGAAATATTATGAATTAGTGTTTATACAAACAGAACTTTGTACTCTATGAATTAAAAAATTAATCAGAAGGAGTTCCATACCTGGACATCACTTGACACCATGTGCACAAACCCTATGAGACTGGCCTGAAAAATTAAGTGTTTTCTCAGTAAAAGTTTCAATCTTTTCCCTGCCAAATTTGACTTTTCAGGACATGTTGCTTTCTGATGGCTGATAAGTCACTGCAGGGAAAAATTAGTGATGGCCATGCATGGAATTCTTTCCAAATAATCAATTAAAAATACGCTAATCTGTGACAAAATCTCTGATTTGTTCAGTGTACTTTCTGACAATATCCAATGGAAAGAGTGTTGCAGCCTGACGCTTTTTTCAGCGATTGTGTACAAAGTCTATGGAGAGTCAAGAAAATTTTCTAAGTATTTCCAAACAAAATTGGAAATGTTTCTCAGTCCCAGATTCATGTCTTATCATCATTTTTGCAATGAATGACCTTCATTGAGATGATATATGAAGACAACAGTGGTTCCACGTTGCAACATTCTTTTCTATCCAAATTTGATTTTTAAAGAAAATTTCTTTCAAAATCCCCAAAACACAACTAAACTACTTGAAATGTCAATACAACCACCATGTCTTCCTACCCTGTCTGTTAGGCCAAGAAAAAAAAGAACATCAGTTGATCATTCCTGCCCACATCCTTTTTTGAAGAAGATCCTTTTATTTTATTTTAAATTTTTTTTCCTCATCTCAAAAAGCTATTTTTATCATGCATAAAACTTACATAAATTGGGTAAAGTACGTTGAACATTGTTTAACATAAATATTTTGACTTTTCTTACTAGTAGGATAGCTAATAAAAAGGTCGAGGTCATTTTGAACTGAAAAGTTGGCAGCCATTTTTATTTAAATACGTTGCGGCCATCTTGAAAAAAAAAAATATATAAAGCCCCTCGTAGAAACCCAGACGATCAACTGAAATTGTTTTTACCTGGCTTTACCAGCCGGAGGGACTGATTGAATGTTATTTCCTGAGAAAGAAACACAAACACGATCTTTAAATTCAAGAAAAACTCATTAATCTTCTCCCAGGGGGACACACAACTGAGATTCTGAGGCTACTCGGCAGCCTCAGCGACGCTTACTCACCGAGGGTCTACGTCCTAGCAGACACGGATAAGATGAGCGAAGAGAAGATTCGAACATTCGAAGCCGGAAGGGAGAAGGACGGAAGAAATTCTGAGGTATGCTGTCTGAAACTTAAATCCGTTATTTAAAATGGAAACGTTTATTAAACAGGGTGGATATTTCCCGCAGAGTTATGTTGAAAACAGAAATAACACCGACAATTTTTTTAGGAGAAGAAATGTATGGGAAAAATTTTAAATTTCAGATTTGTTACACAGCAACATCTTACAACTTTAAGACTGATTATAGCATTTTAATTACCCTCTTTACTTTGAGTTTGTTTTTTATTTTGCAGTGCTGATGTTATTAGGGTTCATATTACTGAACACACAAATCTTTAAATTATTTCACTATTTCAGGCAACATCAATTTAAACTCTACTCAACATAAATCATTGATTACATGTAAATCTTGGGTAAGACCCAGACTGTGACCTCAAGTGCGTAAAAAACATGCAAAACAAAATCCGGTCAATTTGAATCACTGTTTAGCCAACAAAATTCTCCAAAATTTAGCCCTAACCCTGCTCAATCCAAAAGGATCTGACTATTTTAAACGACCGCTTGGTCCTGTTGGATTGAGCAGTAAACCCCATGCATGTATTTACTATCTTAAGTTTTGGGACTCTCACACACAGTATTGAGAGCCCCACATTTTTCGGACTAGGTTAGACTCCAATTTCATGGGTAAATCGAATGGAGGTTTAAAGCACAGAAATGGTTACATTTTACTTTTTCTCAACAGTTCAGCCTGGAAAGAATTCCCCGGAGTCGTGAAGTCAGGCAGTCCTACATCACCAGCGTTGCCTCCACCCTGTATGCTGCCCTCTACTCCTTCCCGTTAGTCTTCAGGCATTCCCCAGACTTGGTAAATGAGTTACTCATTTCAAACTACTTGGAGTGGTTGATTATCGCACCCCTCAACTGCTGTCTCCATACTATTGGTTAATTTGTTAGTGTTCATATGAGTAGAACTAAGTCCAGGTAAAGCATGGATGGGATCGTGTTGGAAACCCCGAAACACCCCCCCCCCCCCCCACCCCACCCCATCTTACGCTCCCCCTGCCCCCCCCCCCCCCCCAAAAAAAAAAAAAAAAAAATTAAAACTCCTTCAAAAATTGAAATACAGGGTGAGAAAAAAAAAAAAAAAAACCAATCCAAAATGGTAGGACCAATTTTTGAAAGAAGTTTTGCCTGTAGCAATTTCAAAATCTAGGATAAGCCCAAATCAATGAGCTTTCTTTGAGTACAAGAATCATTGAAATCACTCCTGTACTTTTCAAGTTACGGCATTTTGAACACAAACACTGTTTTTAAAGCTCTGTCCACGGATCGCAAAAAAAGTTTGTGATCTTCCAGCATAACGAAAACAATTCACAGCATCCTTATGAGAATTGTTTTCATTTTTCTGACAAAAACACTTTCTTTTTTTGTTATCCTTGGACAGAACTTTAAAATGGTGTCTGTGTTTAAAATTCCCTAACTTGAAAAGTACATGAGTGATTTGAATGATTCTTGTACTAAAAACAAGCTTAATGGACTGGGCTTTCATATCCTAGATTTTGAAAGTGGTACAGGCAAAAAGTCATTCAAAAATTGGTCGTGCCATTAAGGATGCGTTATTTTACTCACCCTGTATTGATATAAATATGGCTGTTTTAGACCTACGTATTGTGCCCTATAAAAAGTGAACACCTAGATTGTTTTTGTTTTCGTTTGATTGTTTGTTTATTTTCTGTAGTTGTGTGATAAGTGCTTTAGCCAGGAGACAAATTAACATCCATTATTTAAAAAAAACCTCATCTTGATTGTGTACTGCATGTGTGTATAGATTCTATGCAATGGCCCCGGAACATGTATACCCATCTGTGCAGCTGGATTTTCTATGAGAGTAAGTAAAATTGTTTTGTTTCTCATATTCTCTTGTTTTAGTTTTTTTTCTTTGATAGAATGGCCTGGCTGTTTTTTCTTCAATTAGTGTGATTGATTAACTACTTGCTTGCTCAACAGGCATGTCCATTAAACCAGTTGAACAATTTCTTGGATCTGGTTAATTAACTCGACTAATGGCCCACCATTATCATCAGTCACTCCAAAGTCAAAGTAAGGACACTCGGTGCGTTTCTACCGAAGCACACAAGAGCCTTCAACTTCTAATGAATACAACATGATAGAACATATGAAGCTTGATTTAATTACATTCAGGTTTTTGTTTGGTATGAAGTTTGACGATTTATCTTACTTATCTCTTATTTGAACAGCATGTTTTAAAGGTAGCCCCCATCATTTTTAATTTGTGCATTATGTTTGTTCCGGTTCTTTTCAGAACCACACATACTCACAAAAGAGATTTATTCACATGGTGCTACCGCAAACTTTTCTTGTCTTAGTATCTTTCCACCATGCAAACCTTCAAATCTCATGTTTGTTTGAAGCAACAAAAGTGCTCAAAATCCAAAGAAGGGTGCTTAAACAACAAACCTGATGAGGTTTTAGCTCAGTGAATGCTGTATATTCCGAGAAAAACACTATTCTAGGATCTTGATTTCAATTCAAATTTGCCGATTCATGTTTTGAATTGCGCCCGAATTCAGCGCCTGGGACACGTTCTCATTCAGCCGATTGCAGCTACGCGATGTCGAGCACTGAACCGAAGAATAACATAGCAACCGTGCGCGCGTGTGTGTCTCCCGAACCACAAAAGCAAAATTGATGAACAGAAATTAGATGATTGCTAAAACCTTGTAGTTTGTGTGTGTCTTTTTTTTAAAATTGCATTATAATAAATATGATAGTTGTCTTTAAGTTTACATATATATATCCTGTACATAGGAGATCATATATAGGGGTCCGCCCATAAATCCGACGCCTCATAGGTCCGACACCTCATAAGTCCGAAATTTCAGACTTTTGAGGCGTCGGACTTATGAGGCATAAAAATTTATTTATTCTGCCTCATAGGTCCGAGGCCGCATATGTCCGATGCCTCATAGCTCCGACATGCTCTGGCATGTTTCAAAACAATTGTAACGCAACTTCAAACTGCATTCAGAATTCAAAATACGCTCAGGAGTTTCAGGACCATTATTCGTTGACATTCTACTGTCATATCTTTGTGTATTTTTACCACTTTTGTATCGTTTCTATAGTTACTGGGGCTGAAAGCAGTACAGCAAGTCTACGTGGAGAGCATGTGCCGCGTCCAGACCGTGTCTCTGTCCGGTCAAATCATGTACTACTTTGCCGATCATCTCATAGTGCAGTGGCAGAGTTTGAAGGAGAAATATCCAAAAGCTGTCTACCTAGGGCGGGTAGTTTGATAAATAGATTGATATTGATAACAAGGTTTTTAAAAATTTGCCAAAGTTATAAACCTTGCAAGTTTGGGTGCTTATGCCTTTTTGCCAATTTTGTTTTGCTAGAGCTTATGTATCACGCAATGAATACATTTACAGAAATAATCAAACGGCCCCCTAACGAGGTGCCATTAGTTGATTTTGCAAACACACATTTTTACCACCGTTCTTCTAGGGAATCATCATGTCTTGGAATTTTCTTATTTGTATGTACTTTTTTTTTCTTTCAGTACAGAAATCTACTGTTGCTATTCACAAAGTTTTGCCTTTGAACAGTGCCTTTGTGTTGGTCAGTCACAGTTGAAGGAAATAGATAAATGTAAATATTAAAAAAAAATGAACGAAAAATTCAAAGTGGGAATATAATGCAGGGATATTTTTGTCGATGTGAGTGTTTTGGGCAGAAGTAGCTAAAATAAATTACTCCTTTTTAGTGGGTAGAGTGGATTAAGTGTGATCATTTGTGAGTAGAATATTATTAACGATATCAGCAAAAAAGTTAAAGGAAAGGCAAAGTATTGACCCTCATTTTGATGTGTAGGTTGATTGTTCGAAAATTTGGGACCCTCAATGCTGTGTATAAGAGTCCCAAAACGTAAGGTACAATATTAAAAACATGCAATAAAAGAAAATAGACTGGCACATGAACAATCAGTCCCAACACCCTTTTGGTACTGTATCAGTCAACTGTATCAAAAGAAACATTTGGTACCAGTCTGTATTTCTACACATCTCTCCATAGTCTGCCACCAGACTCCTGAAGAGGTCAGTCTTTTCCAAACAATTGGACTTGCACCAGTCCCATTCTTCGGCTTCAAAGTGAAATCACTTGGCATCACTCTCAGGTGCAAAATGTCGAAGAAAAGTCTCCTTTAATAATTGAATTGAGACTTCAAACTTGGCTGGTGAAATACTGAGGACCTTGTATTTGCCTCATGAAAATTGTGGAGAATTTTGTCAGCTAAAGAGTGAGTAAAGTTGGCCCGATTTTGTTTTGCAAGTTTTTCTGCACTTAAGGTCTGTGTGTGTGTTGATGCTCTGAATTATTTCCCCCATGTATATTTTAAAGTTGATGCCTATGGAGACAGGTGAAAGTAAAACTGATTTTATTCCGTCTACACTGGCAGTTTGTAGGTGTCATTTGCCCTTACTCTTACAAAGTCGCTCGTGTGTTCGCCGACAAGATTCACGTCAAATGTCAAGCGGCTTTTACATGTGTAATTAGCTTTTTACTGAGCGTTGTCTCTTCAACAAACGAGCGGGGATAATGAACGAGAATTTGCCCTTCCTCTTTCCCCACGGAAATTAAACTCTTTCCGTCGGTTTTCATTTCGTCGGAAATAAAGGCGGACAGTTTGGACTTGACCAAAGTACTGTCTTGTACGATGATGGATATTGTATTCTAGTACCTACTACCTACACTGTACCGCCGTTGTGGACATAGATCTAGATGGATGACATTGTAGGAACGGATGTAATTACTGTGATTCCCAAAGGTCCTAATCCCGTCTCTAATTTTTCATGGTTAAAAGCGAAGGTTTCCGGGGGAATTTCGTGTTTTTTTGTTTTTGAAATTAAACATCGTTTTGTTTCCTCGAATTGTCCACATTATGCTGTTTGCATAAACTGCACTTTGTGCCGATTAGTTGGGTGCGGGGCTCTAAAATGCAATGCTGGGAATCAACACTGGTGATTTATGCGTGCGAGGAGAAATATTTACACTGATCTTGAGAAGTGACTCGTTCTGAAATTGTCCTTTCAGTTTGAAGTCGAGTCACGGCTGGCCTGTTTTAGGCACTGCTGGCATAGGCGCTGGGAAAAGACATGTCTGTGAAACCTAGCACACGCCTCGCGCGCTAAACAAGTTTCCCGGAAAGCCGATTGGTCAAATGGCGATCGCAGCTGCGGCGCGCTGTCGATCGATTAGCCAATGGGAGCATTGGAAGCGGTGATGTACTTGCGTTTTGTACGAAGGAAGGTTTTGCTCTATCTGCACATGCGAAATGTATGTTATACGAAGCTGAAATTGGGTATTAGTGCAACCGAGTTATTTGCGCACGTATAGAGTTTATTCATTCTTAGCGCTCGTATATCGTGTGGTACTACAGCTTCAGTTGATTCTTGTAAACTATACGAAGAGTTGAACGCATTTTTCATGCAGCAAAGCTTGTGCCAACGTACAAGGAAACTTCAATCGTCTAATCTGATCGGAACATTCATCAACTGTCTACTCCAGAGACCTGGTACTTCCAACTGCTGAAAGAAACCAGCCGCCATGGAAAATGTGACTTCCTCGCGTTTTTTTGGCTTGCTGTGCGTTTTTCTGTTGTTGGACAAAACTGCTGCTATGAATTCGACATCTTCTGCCCATACACTGGCAGACGCGGTAATAAAAACCGTGCTGTTATCGACCCTCCACCACAGGCCTACAGCTGCCACGTCGGTGAATGGTAATTTTGAGACTCGGATGCCTACAACAACCCCTACAGATGTGACGTCTAACCCGACAGACATGGTCACAACCACCGGACCGCCACTCGGTGCACCTACAGCCGTCACGTCGGTGCACGGTACCAACGGCACCAATACTAACAGTAGTGTGCCGGAAACACCAGTGCGTAAGTTTGAATTTACTTAACTTTAATAATTTTGAATATTACACACAACTCGCTCTGTGGTTGGGCCAGGTTCTGTGTTGCAAGTCCACAGAATGATTGACTTTGCGTTTATTAGTCTGATTTAGTTTGGTTTATTTTGTTGAATGTGATATCAGCCTGTCTTTATTTAGCCGTTTTTTTGGAAATAGAAACGCCATACCAGCACTATCGGATCACAGTCTATAGAATATCTCCTTGCAAAGGTCTGTGATATGTGAGCAGATTCCACGATTAATTATGCAAAACAAGAAATTGCGCATTGACCTCAAAATTCTGACCGTTCAGCCGGCGCACACTACATCGTGTCTTGAGTAATCCGTTGTATTACAAAAACATGGCATCCACATTCACCAATCAACAGCTTAGTCCACGTTTCTGATCGAAATGACGTCACAGTTTCTAAAGTCGACTCCGATTGGCCTGGCGCGCGGGGTCGCATACAAATAGCATGTTAGAATTGGCTATATCAGGCGTCCGACCGTGGCTCTGCACACGTGAATGCCTGATCCTCGGTCTGATGGGACCCCCCCCCATGATCCCGCAGCGTGACCCCTCCCACCCTGTTAGGAAACTAACTTACGGAATTCGCCCTTTTTTATTATATAAGATTAAGTTATATTCGTTCTCGCTAGAACCTCCTCAATTCGGACATGTCTGATGCAAACCGTCTCTCCTCTCTGACTCATACAACGCTCATATCGGGGAACATTCTGGAATCGTTAGAAAAAAAACATGTACCCCTAAAAAACAAATGCCCCAATTGCAACGATTATACTTCTTTGTCCTGTTGGCGTGTAATATTTTTTTCAGAGAACATATCTCAGCAATACATTTACATAGAAGTGGATCATTACCCACTGAAAGCTAATTTGTAATTACATAGATTTAGCAGATTACAGATAGATAAAGCGTAATTATTATGGCACGCTCCGTGTTACGAAATAAAATAAAGGAAAAGTAAACATTGGCGCTACAATCATATCTGCACTTTGTATACATCAATTTTAGACAGAAATTGTGAATATTTGCGTTACGAAGTTTTAAACACAACCACCATTTTGAAGTTCTGTCCACGGATCACAAAAGAAGTGTGCGTTCATTCAGCAAAACGAAAACACTTCACACACATCCCAATGTGATTTGTTTTCGTTTTGCTGAAAGAACACTGAACTTTTTTTTGATCCGTGAACAGAACCTTAATACGGTGGTTGTGTTAAAAATTCCATAACTTCAAAAGTACATAAGTGATTTGAATGATTCTTGTACTAAAAGAAAGCTTATGAATTGGGCTTTCATATCCTAGATTTTGAAAGTGCTACACGCAGAACTTTATTCAAAACAATAGTCCCGACATTTGTTTTACTCACCCCGTAGTGTGTTTGTATAACCTCGCCCTTGTTTCGGTTGTGCAATTTCGTTCAGTATACAAATTTACCGGGGAGGCTGTACGGGTATGAGCCCGAATCTCGGAGTTGGAAGAAAACACGCCAGTACATGTATATATGGGGGGGGGGGGGAAGGAGCATTCCGATTTTTTTCTAACTTTTTCACCCAAATTTCTTTCTCCGCAATTGTAGCTACGCAACAGCCCACAGAAGCGGGAAAGCTGCAGACCGCTCTTCCACCGCGTCAGGGTAAGTTGACAGAAAGAAGTTTTTGCACTTTAAAATTTTGATGTTTTTTTTTATTGTAAGGCTTAAAGTGTTGGTGCTGAATCTTAAAGCTGACGACCAGCTTCGGCGCTGTTAATCACAAAAATGTGCTGAGCACAACAAAAGTCTGGCTTATAAAAGCAGGTTACCAGCCAAAACTCTACGTGATGTATTTTGCTGGTGATTAGTAATTCAGCTGTTGTTTGCTTAGCATGGAAATCACATGGGGTCTTGGCAGTGCCGTGAAATTGGGCCCAGACGAAGAGAGTCTGAATTTAATTTGTCCAACCTCGGTTCTGCTCCAGTTCTGCAATTCCGAGCAGTGAGTGAATTTGCCGGGAGGTGGATGCGAGGGCAGAATTCTCGGGGTTGGAGGAAAATAATCCAGTACATATAAAAGTGGAAAAGGTTGCATATTAAACAAACAAAAAAACCCTCATTTTTCCAATAGTTGTAGCTTCGCAACAGCCCACTACATCTACAGTAGGAAAGCCGCAGACCACACGGCAACCGCCTATGAGTAAGTTGACAGAAAAAAAGTTATTCCACTGTAAAATCGTGATTTTTTTTTTTTTAGATTTGCAGACTGAAGTTGTCGGTCCGGAGTCTTAAGCTGACAATCAAGTCCACAAGAAAATATTTCAAACTGTTGTCCCTGGGGAAATAAAGGGGGGGGGGGCTATCTTCAAGAGCACTCCTCCAGGAAAACAAATTAAACCTCTTAAATTGGAATTTATTATTTTGCGATTTTTGAAGTGAGCCTTAAATAATGAAATTAACGCATTTGGGAATCTAATAAATCAAATCAGATAAAGAAGGAGGTAATTTCTCGGAGGAATCACAACAATAATAATCAAAATGCATAACTACTTAATGTAAATATTTAAAATTGTGTTTTTATTATTTTTTTCTTTTTTATTTTCAACTTTTATAAAGTAACAATTTTTTTTTTAAATGATGATAATAACGCAAGTCCCCAGTTTGCTGGCTGTTAAATACCAGGTGACTTTCTTGTTCAGAGACTTGTAGTTCATTAAACCAGTTTTCTTATACATGATGTAATTCAGAATCTTTCTTCAGTATTTCATGATAATAATGGTTAACAAAGATTCACTGTGGTAGTTTTGACTTCAGTCGAATTTGAATGAGGTGAATGCGCCATCCCACCCACCCAGCGCATTAATTAAGTGGCACTAAGATTTTTCCTATTTCATATTTTTTTTGTTTCACAATTTGCCTCATAAAATTAAATATTCTTTCGTGAATCAAAATTTGCTGTTATATAATCTGTACATGATTGAATCGGCATTTTGTCATTTGCTGAATAAAAAAAAAGATATTAACATAAATAACAACTATTTATGAACACATTTACAAAATGTAATGCGTAATATACAAAATGAATCCATTCGTGCAAAATTTCAAACACCACTTAGCAGTGACGATTCTGTTGAAGTATAAAAAGTATAAAAACACATTATTGTTTGCATTATTCCAGTCAGTTTTAAATTGTTTTAATTTTTTTGTATGTTTATCTTAATTATTGTTATTTTTTTGTAGACGAAACATTTGACAAAATTGTCTAGAACGTCTTTACCCTGTTTTATGTTTTCCATCTACATTGTAATTGAATACGCGATCCCGCCCATTTTAATAGTGACGTCACAAATTGTTCATAATGACGCAATCGTTACCTAGCCAAAATATTTTCCCACCGAATTTTTGCATAATTATTATTCCAGCTATGTCAATATCGCATGGCATATTGTACAACGTTTTTTTTCGGTTTAAATAATCCATTGTAATTTTTTTGTTGGTCAACATTTTTTTTAAACTTTCAAAACAGATTTAAAATGATACTCATTAAGTATATATCACAGTTGTATTTTAATACAATATTTACAAAGTTGAATATCAACTATTATTATGCATCAATACCCGTTCATATTATCCAGTTTCATAGACTGTAATTGTTTATCCAAAGCATTCTGAAAACACCTTTATGTACACTTTCTTTTTCAACTGAAGTCACAGATTGGCTGGTATTAAAACCATGCGTTAGCAGAAAAATCAATTCATTTTTTAAGGTCGTTGGATATTTTGTTTCTCGATCCTGTTCCCAATTTTTAGTGTTCTGATTGTTGAACTAATAGAAAAGAAGAGCAGTACATAACGGATCGCACTAAGTTGTTGATTTTTTTCATATTAACTCAATTAAAACAACCTGGACCATTTTTATGTAGATTTTTTAAATATGTATTTTTTGCCTTGCTTTGTAATTTCTGAACAAAACTGTCATGAAAATCATACAATCGTCGCCAATGTTTTGCTTTTGCAAATGCTTGTAACAGATTTGTCCATTGCTAAGCAGTGACAATGCGAAATTGATGTTTTGATTTTTGAGAGATCGAGTCTTGTAAAAAATTCAAACAGTTTTGTTATAAGCCTAATTTCCGTAATGTCGTAAATTATGTTACCGATGATCGCAGACTGCATCACAGACATTAACGGCCTTTTATTGTCAGACCTTTTGCATACAGTTACATTTTGTTCAATGCCATACAAATGCGTTACGACATTATGGAAATTAGGCTAAGAATCTCAGCCATCTGTGACTTCAGTTGTGCCTCTATCATTCTACACATTACGTGGCCGGCTCGCGGCCCTTGTTCTCGCTATGGAGTTCAGCAACGCCCTGCGCTCGGTGGCTGATTCTTGCCACGTTGTGTTGCCCGAGCCGTACTCGGGCTTCATCCAGCTGTACCTAGGGGGCTCCGGGCTGGGTGAGCCCGATGAGAGGCTGGCCTCTGGCTTTTCTGTCTGCTTTGTTGTGCGGGCAGCGGGCAAAACCTGAGCTGCCATGTTGGACTGGGCATTGTTTGAGAGGTTAGCGTGCCCGATGCGACTTCGGAATCTCCCCTGAGTAGCGATCGGACCAACGGTTGTCAAGTCACTCGGAATTGTCCCAACAGTTTCAGTCTCACGGCGCTGCGCTCGCCTGTTGCTGGCCTGGACTCCCGGCAGCGCGGGCATTTTGTTGAGAGTTCTCTGTGGGGCAGTCGGTGTGCTGATCTCAGGCCAGGATGATATACCCGGTGAGCCAAGAACTTGCACGTCACTGGGTAAGTTTGGCGGAGGTCGATGTCTTGGCCTCGTGGCTTGAGGGAGTGATGAGTTCAAGCCGGGCTGCATCCATTTCGGGGTGAAAGCAGGTGGTCCAGAGTTCCTCCCGGGCACAAGCGATGGAGGAGCTGTTGGTTGCAGCCCATTTCCCTTGACCTCATGAGTCTGTTGATCAGTCTGTCTCGCCTGCTTGTCACGGTGCTGCGATGGTAGGGTCTTTGGTTTCATACCAGGCAGTGCAGGCATGCGTCCCAAACATTCCCGCTGAGGCTCGGGTGGTTGGCTTTGTAGCCATGCCGGCACGCTGGCTGATCCAAGCGCGACGACCTCACTCTGCTCCTGGGCCTGTTGTTGACGGGGTGACCTCTCAGCTTGATGCAGAGCCAAGTGCTGGTCGGGAGCAAGTTGATCATATCCCTGCTGCATCCAGGCAGGTGTGGCATAGTCCACCAGGCCGGTGCTGTGATTCGTAGCGGGATATTCCGCGTAAGGATCTGCCATCGCCGCTCTATACTCCTGGTCGAGTGCCGCCTCTGGTTGGATGTTTTGATGATCCATCGTTGATTGTGAAGCGATGGCTGCACTTGCTTCGGGAATCTGTTGGCGAAGGTACCAGAAGAAAAGAAACATCATTTGTATGACCTTGTTACCATGATATTTGAGTCCGAATGTTTTCTTCAGCTTTCGTCTTTAAATAATCTACCGGTTTATGAACAGCCTTTATTTCCTGAAACCCAACTTATCCCAGATTAGTTCAATTGATGAAGATAACTGCCTTATTTTGTAATAAGAATACTCGATGTGCTACTTTGTGATCTTCTCAATGATTCACTCCGTGTTGTGGCTACTGATGTCTTAGTAAGGTATTTTTTGCTAAGATTAATTTCGTTACATGGAGCTTAAAAAGTACCTGTGGTTCAAACTCATACTGGGGCAAGGTATTCATCTGTGGTGGCGGTACTTGGTAGGACTCTTTTGGTGGAGGCCTAGCTGTTGGAGGTGCAGCCTTCGACGGGTCAAAGTCCGGCTGCATCCAGCGAGGAGTGTCAGCAGACGCACCAGACGATTGAGTTCCGGACACTGGACTCGCTGTCTTCTTTGCAGCATCCCGTAGCTTGGCCTTGTTGCCAATTTTGGTGAATGTCTTCTTGGCCTGGACTGGATTCCACTTCTTGAAGGGCTTCGTGTCCGGGGCGGGATTGAAGTCAGCCCGCAGGAAGCGTGGGAGATCTTTGTCATCCTGTGACGGAGTTGAAGGTGGAGGAGTTGTCGCCGTCTTGGAGGACTGTTGGAACTTGTCCTGATTTCTCATCGAGTCTATGATCTTCTGAGACTCGTTCGCGATCTGCTGTCTCCCGTTGTATCTCTCATTTGGAGTCATTGAAGCGTAATCAAACTCAGAATTATCAGCAGCCGCTTCTGGAGTGGAACAGAGCACGGGTTTATCCTTCGGGGCTTTCCAGACCTCTCGCTTCGGTGCACTCCCGTCCGGACTGAAATCTGTATTCAGCCACCGCGGAGTGGGTGATTCAGGTAATTTCTTTTTGGACTTGGTAATCTTCTCCAACTTTTTCTTAGCGGTCATGGGATCCCATCTCTTGAACGGCTTCTGCTCAGGAGCCGGGCTGAAATCGTCTCTCAGGTAGCGTGGAATCTCAGCCTCTTGGAATGCTGAGGCGCTGTCCGGCTTCCCGGCCCGAATCAAGGAGTCCCTGAGACTGTCCTGAGTTCTTGCGTCCAAAAGATTCGTAGCCGGCTTCATTTCTTCTGCGGTTGTATCGAGATGAACGGGGGGACTTGGAGCCTCGTCGGACTCGGAAGAAGATTCCAGAGATGGACTGCGGATATCATCTCTTGCTGTCCCAGCATTCTTTGGAGGAAAGACGTCCGTTTCGCCATCCAGGAGAGCCCGAGACAGCTTCCTTTCTCCCCCGTCTAGATCACGAGGTGTTGAAGAACTTGGAGCCTCATATGACTCAGAGGAAGACTCCAGGGATTGAATTCGAATATGGTCTCTTGATGTCCCAGCCTTCTTTGTAGGTGAGACGTCAGCTTCTTCATCTGAGCAGAAGGCCTCGGACCATTTAATGTCATCCATGTCCGCATCTAGGTCGATGGTAGTTGTCGAAGAATCTTCGGATTCTGATTCTGGTGGACTCTGCTCACGGTTCTGCGTCTCCTCATTTGTCTTTGGGGAGTAGAGATCAGTTCTTTCAGGATACATCTCTGTCAGCCAAGACTGTCCCTCAGCCTCAATTGATGCGTACGATGCAAGTCTCTCCTCCCCTTTGACGTTTGAGATCACAATAACTTGGCGAGACTTAGTATCGGCCAATTCTGAGAGCGCATCTCTATTTACAACATCGCACTTGTGGTCAGCTTTGGCTTCCTTCAGATCGTGAAGAAATTCCCCAGGTCTCCATTTCAAGACCCCCTTCAGCGGACCTCGTCTTTGTCCTGGAGTCGTCGGTCCACGAGGAACATCGCTGAAAGTTATCCTTCTTTTCCTGGTCACTTCACCATTTTTGTCTGACTCCAGAACATGTGATGGTGTCAAAGAGCTCGTTTCCTCCAGTGGACTTGGCTTGTCTGCTGATTCAACAATATCAGATATAGAACTCTCATCTCTCGTTCTGGCCTCCAAATCTGCGCTACCTTCTTCACGGTTGGTCTTGGAGTTCAACACTTTTTGTGACGAATCCATCGGCTTTGTCTCTTCCTTAGTCGCTGAAACGGTGGTTTTTGGCTCTGAAGTGAGGGGTAGAGCTCTGGTGATCTGCTCTGCTGGTTTTGCAAGAATATCATCTGTAGAGGTTATAGCCGGAGTCCCATCCTCCAAAGCCTTGTCATTTGCTTCCTGCTTGGTTTCTGAGATGGTCTCCTCTTGCTTAGCAGGTGAGGTAGCTGTCTTTGACGCCAGTGTAGGTTTGCTGGTCTTGCACTGTGGCATCTTGTCCACGATCCCAAATAAGTCATCCGAAGAAGAATGTCGCAACATCTCCTCAATGGCATCCATCTCTGTCAGATCCTGTTCTTCATGTTTCTCCATTTCTTCCAACACTTCTTCTATCTTCGTGGAGATGCTGCTATCGACACAAGCATCATGTTTGCTGTTTGATGACACTTGGCTCTTGAGCGCTCGGTCAACGGTGTCCAACTCATCAGACTTGTACTTTTTGGGTGATTGTTGCTTGTGTGAAGTTTTACTTCTGGTTGACTCAGAAGTATTCTCATTAGGCTCGTCTGTCTCCTCATCTTGGTCCATTATAAAATCGGTTCTGTGGAAGGCACTTCTACTCATTCGGCCATCCAGCCCTCCAAATTCATTTTCATCATCAGATGGAGAAAGTTCTCTGAGCAGCTCATCCATCATATCAATCTCCTTCGATGTTTTTCCACTTTTCTTCTGCTTTTTATCTTCCTCTTCTTGATCTGACTCCTCGTCCCATGAGTTGTAATCCGTTTCCAGTTGTTTGGATGCAGACGGCGGTTTGCTCACAACCTCTTCCTTCACTTCGATCTTCTTGATATTTTCTCCTTCATCATCATCGTCCCATGAGTCGCTGTTTTCGATGTCTTCGATGACAGTATCAGCGGCAGTTACTTTGGCTGGTGTCGGCGCAATCTCATCACGGCTTGGCTTCATGATGTCATGTTCAGCAGATGGAGCAGATACCTCCTTCGCCCTCTCCTTGATGCTCTCAATAATTGTACTCTCAATCTGACAAGGCTGGGTGTTCTTGATCGTGGCGCCCCTGCCAATTTTGGATGTACTCTGAGGCAGGCTAGTGAGCGCAGACTTCTCAAGGACACCGTCATCCTTCGAATCGTCATCCCGGTCAACCTGGGGTTGGTCTTCCAAGGAAGTTTCCAACCAAAACGGTTTGGAGGGAACTGGGGTGTTCCCCGGTGGGATGACCATCTTGGATTCGGTGTCGTACTTGAGAATGTCGTGGGCCTTGTCGGGTTGAGAGGGGCTCTCATCCGGTGAGGAGAGTTCTTGGAGGATCTCCGTCCACATCTGCTTTCTCTGCTGGTGCCGTGATAAACGAGCGCAGCTGCTACTGTCATCGTGACTATCCAGTGACTGCTTATTGGGAACGATCGGTCTCTCTGTATCTCTCTTGCTGTCTGGGTGGTCTTTCGGCTCGAGGAGGGATGCGGACTTATCACTTCGAAGCGATGAGGACGAGCAATTGGATTTCGTTGATTTGGTCTCTTTCCTGCGAGATTACACAAGAAACCGGACATTCAATAAGACATTGCAAGTGGGGGAGGAGGTTCTGTCACGCCGAGTGAAATGAAGCTTTAAATCATTTGACCAAATTGGTTGATTATGAGTATGGTCTTTTAGTTCAAAATAATAAGAGCTTGAAGTCTTGTCAAATTAAGCTGTTTTGAATTGAACTGGACAAAGACCGTATTAATAGTACTTTTTTGTTTGAGTTTTTCAAGAAAAAAACATATTTAGCCTCTAACCCAGAAATGACTTTCAGACTGAAACATAAAACAACTTTTGCAAGGTTTTAAGAAAAGAATTATAATGATGTGAAAGATAATAACCTTCCTGTTGCTATGGTGTCTCCATCCGAGTCATACCACTCATCCGAATCTTCAGTTAGCTCACTCTGAAAACGAGACACTTGATTTTGTTTCGTCTCATCTTGAACATCATTGGTTCCCGTAGCATCAGCAAACCTCACATGCTTGATGGCGGTCTGGCCATCAAGAGTGCGCTGGACACCAGTTGTCCTGTAAATAGAAAAATACAGATGCACAGTTGTAAGGAAGACACTTTACATCCGGAGCATTTTACCTGACCCACCTAAAATATTGAGGTTGTACATACGATTTGCGTGGAACAGCCATAATGAGTAATGTGGCAAGCGATATTTCTTTACTTTAATTCCATCTTTGAGTGATTGTTTTGTTCATACTTACCTGTGTTTGTTGGTCGTCACTGCTTCACACCAACCAGCCGTCACATCAGCTGCCTTCATCTCAGGGCTGCTCTGTTTCAGCTCACTAGTTGCACTGGCTGGGATGGAGGTTGTCTTTCCACTGGTCTCCTGCTCCATTGGTTCTGCGTCGCAATCACTGTTGACAAGTGCAGCAGGCAAACGCAGATCATGTTTGATGTCGGTAGCTGGGACTGGAGCGACCATTCTGCACCGTGCTACCACAGGCTGTGCCGCTGGTATTTCAACATCGGATGCCGGTGGCGTGGGATATGATTTCTGGGTCTGTTTCACTTTCTTGCCCTTGAGGAGTTTGCCAAGTCCTTTTCTTTTCTTCTTCGTTTTGCCATCAGGTGTTGATTTGGCATCATCAGCGATTTCGCCATCATCGCCTTTCATGAGTTTCTTTGCCTTTTTTTCTTCCTTCTTTTGTTTCTTCTTTTCTTTCTTTTCCTCCTTCTTCTCCTTCTTTTCCTCCTTCACTTTGTTTTTATCCTTCTTTGCCTGCTTTTCCTCCTTCTTTTCTTTATTCTTTTCCTTCTTTTCTTCCTTTTTCTCCACCTTTTTCTCCTTTTTCATTTCCTTCTTTTCCTCTTTGTTCTTTTTCTTTTTCTCTTTGTTCTTTTTCTTTTCCTCTTTGTTCTTTTTCTTTTCCTCCTTTTTCTGTGTTTTCTTTTCCTTCATTTCCTCCTTTTCCTCCATTGTCTTTTCCTTATTTTTCCCTTTTCCCTTTTTCTTTCCCTCTTTCTCCTGTTTCTTCTCCTCTTTTTCCTTGTTCTTTTCCTCTTCCTTGTTCGTTTCCTCTTTTTCCTTGTTCTTTTCCTCCTCCTCCTTGTTCTGTCCCTCCTTTTTCTCCTTTTTCTTTTCTTTCATTTCCTTCTTTTCCTCCTTTGCTTTTTTCTTCTTCTCCGCTTTCTCCTTTTTCTTTTCCTCTTTCTCCATTTTCTTTTCCTCTTTCTCCATTTTCTTTTCCTCTTTCTCCATTTTCTTTTCCTCTTTTTTCTTTTCCTTTGCCAGCTTTTTCTCCTTTTTCTTTTCCGTCATTTCCTCCGTTTTCTCCTTCCTTTCCTTTTCCTCCATCTTGATCTTGGTCTTTTTTTCTTTCTTTTCTTTCTTTCCTTCAAAATTCTTAGCCTGCTTTGTTGAGGGTTCCTGCTCGGTGCTGTTGTCATTCAATTCCTCCGCCTGCTCACAGGTGTCATTCTTGTCATTCATTGTCGCATTTGGAGACGGAGATTCCTTGCCGATGATGTCATTCTGGCCTGCTTCATTCTCAGTTTCCTTTGGCGATGCGGATTGCTTCGTCTGTTCCTTTTTATGAGGCGTCTTGCACTTTGCTTTTTGGACATCATCTGGATAATTGATTTCATCACTCCGTCCATCGTCTGCCTCTGTGTCCTTTTCAGCCACTGTGTCAGTCACTGTTTCATTTTCAGAGGCGGTTGACATATTCGTTGAGTCTGGCTCACTATCAGTTTTCGACATTACACCAGTCTTATCTGAATTGCTTGAAGATGCATGGTGTTTCTTCTTTTTGAACAGAGCTGGCTTCTTTGTGATCTTCTTCCAGACGGAAGATCGTTTGGCTGTGGTACTGGGTTGGTCGCTCTCGACCAGGGTAGCGTCATCAGTGGGAGGTGCCTCTTTGTCATCATCCACTTTTTCGTTTTCTTTCTCTTTTCTTGTAGAATCTTCTTCCTTTGGCTGAACCTCAGTGTTTTTGTGGCCTGGAGTTCCCCCAAGTGTCAGAGGTTGTTCAGTGTCTTCAATTACATCTCCGAGTAAATCTGGCTTTTTCTGTAGGCCGGCTCCGATCTCCATCTCAAGCTCTTTCCCACTGCCTTGAACATCCCGCTGAGAATTGGAGAACATGCTGGTGCAGAAGTCATCAAGATCATCCTCGCTTGTCAACTCCTCTGTCTTCAACTCAGCAGATGTTGGCTTACTTGAGGTGTTTCGAGACAAGACCGTGCTGTCAGTTGGACGGAACTCCTGTCGTGTAACTTGAGTCCTCATTATGAGGTGCTCTTCAACTTCGCACTTATTAGGTGTATCTGCCTTCTTCGACTCACTCTTTTCTGGAGCAAAGTTGTTCTCTGCCTCCTTCTTCGTGCCCTTGGCTTCTTTGCCAAATTGTTCGGTTGGTACTTCGATTTGATCTTGTCTCTTCGGTACGCAACTCGGGATGTCTGCTTCATCATCGGCTTTGTTACTTTCTTTTGCAGTGGTGGTAGACTTCCTACGCTTCTGTTTCTTCAGTTGTTTGCCATCAGGGTTCATTTCTTCAGAACTCTTTGTATCATCTTTGCTTAAAGACCACGCTGGGCGGGGTGTCTCCGTTGTTACCTTGGAGACTGCTGCTTGCCCCTTTTGTAATGAGTCCAGCTTTGGTTGGTCACTTTTCTTGGCTCTCCGTTTGCGTCTCTCTTGTAGATTTGTCGAAGTGCAGATAGTTGCATCTTCTTTGTTTTCAATCAATTCGGTTTCAATATTGGAGACCGCGGAGGCCACTTCCAGAAGTCCCCGAGCTTTGGTTTTGTTCCGGGGAGTGCTTCGGTGGCTGTCATATCCGTCTTGGTTGTCGTCTTTGTCGGTTTTGGATGATGACTGACTAAATTTGAATGCCCCTCTCACCACCAAAACACCAGCATCAGTATCTGAAGGAGATGGGTCCCGTTTCTGTATCTTTCCTTCTTTTCTGATGCTCACTGATTCGAGACTGGAACTTTCAATCTCGGCGTACATGTCTTGTGGTTTGATTGTATCCAATTTGTGCACTACAAATTCTTCCTCCCCAGATGGTTCAATTGTAGATGTTGCATCTGTCTTGGGATCATCGACTGTGCTCCTCGGACTCTTCCTTGAGGAAGCAGAAGATGTAGGTCCCGGTAGGCCCGTCACCGATGATTTCTGGCTTGTCTTTCTGGCCCGATGCTGTCTCCTGGCAGCTTTACATTTTTCTGGAAGAATCTTGGCTGAACTCGGGGGTGAGTTAGCCTTCTTGAGTATTTCACATTCTCCGGAGTGGTCATCACCATTGTCGACTTCACTTTGGGGCTGGATGCGGAGATCTGACACCTTTTTCCTCTCCTTGCGGGCACATCTGGTTTCCAGCTCCTCCTCAACCGCAAACCTTTCCTCAGTCGTCTCGAGAGGTTGGGTAATCTCGTTTGTTTTGTCCTTTGTGAGTTCTTTAGACTTCTTGGCTCTGTACCTTTGGTTCTTCCTCTCCTTTGACGATTCACCAGAAGCCTCGCATCTCTCAGTTTGATCTACGGAGGGAACAGTAGCTGTTTCGTCAGATGCTGTAGCTGAGCTCTCTGTCTGTCGAGATGGAAGCTGTGATCTCTTGTCTCTCTTCCTGTATATCTTCTCTGCTTGTTTTTCTTCGTCTCTGTGTTTTGACTTGTTCTTCTCCATCGTGACATCCACTGGAGTATCACTTTCAGTCACGCACAAGTCCTTTCCTTCTGCACCTGAGTTTTGGGAGGTGATGACAGAATTCTGTGCCCTACTGCGTTTTCTTTCGGGAATGGGGCGAGCCTCCTTCACCTCTTCCGGTCTGCTTTTGTTTCGGCTTCTTGTACTTTTCTTCTCAAATGAGTCATCAGCTGGAAGAGCACTTTCAGCCGGGTTTGGAACTGGTGGGCATCTCTCCGTCGCCTTTTTGGTCTTGCCTTTTCTTTCGGGGATTGAGCCGGCCTCTCTATCCACAATCTGTCTCGCTTCGTCCATGCAGTTGGTGTTTTTGATCTCGTCCGAGGCTTCAACTGGCACCTTATTTTCAGTGACGCTGAGAGCCTTTCCATCTTTTCTAGAGCTTGAAGAGGAACGACGGCTCTGGAACTTTTTCTTGCTGTGTTTTCTCTCGGAGATGAAGCTGGCCTCTACTGTTTTCTCCTCTAGGCACTGTGTTTGTTCTGGACCATTCTCCTGTTTCCGTCTCCGTTCTCGTCTCCGTGTTTTGATAGAAGATGCGTCTTTCTCCACTGTTATTATGCCATTGTTGAACCTGTCATCATCTTCAGATGGTTTGGCATCATGCATGTGTCCGACAGACGGAGAAATGGCTTCTGCTTCCATTATCAAGGTGTTTTGTCTCTTCTCTCGCTTGCCAGCTCCCCCTGTGATAGCTCGACTTTTGCTCTTTTGTTTGGCCAGTGCAGGGCTGGTTTTCTGGATCTCCTCGGTTTTGTGGTAAAGACTTCCACCTTTGTTGTCGGCCGGCAGCTGGTGGGATCCTCGTGGTGCTTTGGATTTTATGCCGTGTGGTTTCTTCCTGCGATTGTCAATTCTTTGCACTTGTTCGCAATCATCGCTGGATGAACTGGAAGAAGCAATATTGAAGGTATCCTCTCGGAGTGTTGACAAAGAGTTCGCATCCATGATCTTCTTTCTGGATGCAACATGGTATCGCTTCTCGACTCTCCTGCGTCCTTGCAGACTGGTGCTCCTGATCTCCAGCAAGGATTCGTGCTCAACCAAGGAGATATCGCTGCTGCTGTTGACATCGCTAAGCACATGGACTGGTGATGACAGTGATTCTTCGGAAATGTCTTCAGTCCGGAAAGACATTTCAACCTGCTGGTGTTGTTTCTTTAGATTTCGACGCCTGGTTGCGTCAGTGGCGACACCAGGATATTCTGGGCTGGCTTGAATACGGTGTCTCCTGGGGGTAGCTCCACCTCTGCTGCGCTGCTTCTTCTTGCTCATCTTTGTAACTGCTTCAAGATCTTTGTCCTTGCTGGATGAACGTGCAGCTGATGTCGCGGTCCGACGGTGCTTACTCTTCTTGGAGTTGGTCTGCGACGAAGAGCTTAGACCTGATGTGGTGCAGCTTGTCTCCGCGGATGTAGATGTCTTGGTCTTACGGGTCTTGCTTTTCAGGTACCTACGAGTTGACTGATTGCCCCTTGCTTCGGTTAATTCTTCGGCCGCTGTGATCTGCGGCACGGCCCGGTACTGGAAGCCGTACTCCTGTGTGAGACTGTTGTGGGTGATCAGTCCCTGACTGAGGAGTTTACTGATGGTGATGAGTATCTCGTTCTGTCTGCACATGCTCAACTCCAGTCGCTCCAGTCGTTGCCTGGTTGCTTTCTCGGAATGGGTGACGGTCTGGATGATCTCATGCATGCTGGGCAAACTAGAGTCGGTGGTCTGTGCCTCTTTCTTGGTGGCTACCTCTTTCTTGGTGGCTTGCTCTTTCTTGGTGGCTTGCTGCTGTGTCTGGCTGCTACTGACTTGCTCATTCCCAGAAGATGTCTTGTTGGCAAGAGCTGCCAATCTCCTCTCCTTGGCCACATCTCGAAGGATGAAGCGCATCTTCATCTGGTGGTCCCGTATGTCTCGCAGGCGGAACCTGTTCTCGCAGCGGCGACGGAACCGGGCGCGGGTCGGTGGGTACTTGGGCGAATGGATCTCTACGCGCCGCTCGGGTTCCTCCATGTTTCCCTGACTCCTGTTCTTCTTGGAGTTCTTGGGAGTTGTGGCCCTGGATTTTACCCCGGCCTCGCAAGGCAGTGGCGGGAGGGGGCGCCACTGGTCAGGTGGTACGGGGATGTAGGGTACACGGCGTGGCTGTGATGTTCTTCCAGCATGTTGCTTGCCGTTCCTTCCGGCCTGTACCTTTGAAGAAGACTTGTTCTTGCGTCTTCTATTCCTACAGATCTTGTCACTGCTAACTTTCTTCTCCTTGCTCTGGTCTTTGCTTTCTCTCAGTGACTGATCTTCATCTCTCTTCTCTGAGATCTTCTTTCCTTTCTTTTTCTTCAGGGGTTTCATCTCTTCTCCCTGAAGATCCTCTTCCTTCGCCTCTCGCTTCGGTGGCTGCTGCCCACAGTAGGCATACTTGTCCGTGCTATCCTGCGCGGTGTAACAACAGGGTAGCATCTTACGGAGCATGCGCCTCATGATTCCGACACGCCTCTCGGGCGTGATGCGGAGGCCGCTGAAGGTTCCTGGATGTTTGGGGTCCTCCAGCAGGTCGGTGAAGGAAACCTGGCGGGGGCGCTCTTCCTTCAGCCGACGTTGCCAATTCTTTGGCTCTGTAGAGTGTGAGATGGGACAAACAAGGCAAGGCACCTAAGTTTAAGATACCCGACAGGCCACTGCCAATCTATTTCAAGTAATGTAAACAAATGCATAGCCTGATTAATATAGTGTGTCCAAGTAAAACCGGGCCCGGACCAATTAGCGGCCATATCTAAACGAATATGCATGTGAGAAAAGTTTGTGTATTTTTCATGCTGTTGATGTTATTTATTGCCTGTGGAAAAATGAAGTAACTTGATTGACAACTTTTAAAGCATGATTAGAAACGTAGAGCTCCATAAAATTTAAATGCGCACTTTTTGCGGCATTAGCTTGTGCTTGTAAATAAGTGGAGAGAGGGAGACTACGAACCTGTATCACACACGAACACATTTCACATGCAAACAAGAAGACACTATGTCTATATTTCATAACACATTGGTGTTGTAATGTGTTCTGAAAAAAAATATATAGTGTTATGAACAAAAATGTGTTATGAAATGAAATGTTATTAATTTTTTTTCTATCCGTTCAGTTTATTTTTCCACAGGCAATAAACACCAACAGCATGAAAAAAAAAGAAAAAAAGATTTAGTCTCGCATGAATATTTGTTTAGACATTATGACCATTAATTTGTCCGCGCCTGCTTTTTCTGGGACACACCCGTGAGAACACTGTAAGATGGTTTTAATTCCCTCCAGGTATTTTCACTTCGTTGGCAAAAGAAGAGTACTACAAATTTTCACTTACTGAATCGAATGACTGCATATTTATCACATTAAAAAAAGTCGTGGTTTTTTAATAATGGCAGAATTGATATTAGAACTTTTTCTATACTATGTTTCCATATTTCTTAAGTTAAGGCAATTGCATAATAACATTCGATTGAATTTAAAATTTAAAACTTTATGGAAATGTATTACTTACGCTGAGGCTGTAGAGAGAAATATATATTTGCAACAAGGAATAAACAATTTTGGGAAGGGGGTAAGGGTAGAGGAGGGGTAGGGGCTAATAGTTGACAACAGAGAACAGAACATACTGAAATAAAAAGCAAAGTCGAAGGTAATTACAAAATATTGAAATCAAATACATTTCCAACTTTACAGAATTACAAGTTTTACATTTCGGCTTTATGCCTCAATGTAAACACAATTGTCGTATGTCCAGACACATTTTTAAAACCTTAAAATAATATTTAAAAAATCCCGATTCTGTAAAACAATAAATATTTGTTGACTAGTACACAGTCATTCCGTCATTAAGTCCCTCCTTGCTGTTGTAGTGCGCATCGGCAAACTGAGTCAATTTTAAATTCTTCCGATCAATCAGGAACGTCATGATAGTGCTCGATGTTTCATTTTGCGAAAACAGAAAAAAAATGTTAAATTCCTGATTTTGAAAATAATTATTTTGAAAATCTTACCATAAAATTCTTATCATAGAGATCTTATCATAACAAAAATCTTATCATAGAAAGTGTGCAGAGTGATATGGGAAGCAAAAAATACATTAACAGAAAATGCTGAAAATATAAACGATATGAACAGATTTGTTGAATGATCCAAGCTTATAGAATAGAGAGAAAACATATAAATAAATTCAAATGTTTCTGTAAACCTTTCAATCCATCTACGCGATGATCACTTTAAAAGCACATAATTAAAAATAATTTCCAAAACACGTATACGGACGAAGTTCTCACCCAAATCATATCTCAATAATTATCAGTTCCATGCAGTTTAGACAATGATCATCATCTTAAAAGTATATATTTCTAGTGATTACTTTAATTTATGTACTTCCATTTCATGTATTTATATAAACAGCTCCACACAATTGCGCTACTGGTGGCGAAGAGCCTGATTCTAAACCAAATTTTATCCATCTATCTATCAAGCTAATATGTGTATTAATGTATACAGAACTTGTATTCACACGGGAAACAACTTGTAAACTTGTTGGTGTTTGAAACATTTTCTTCCTTTTTTTGGGGGGGGGGGGGAAGGGACATTTGACTGTATGCAAAAAAGTGACATGAGTTTGAAACTTACCACGATCAGACATCTTGATGTGACGAAGAAGTGCTGATCAGATCTTTGCTGTTCTCAGCAAAGCGGTTCACCAAGCCTGTACCTCTGTCTGTCGAAGTAGACTTTGGTGTCGGTCTGCAAGAATCCTTGGTTCTTGCAGGAGGGGTTGAATCGGTGTCTTCGGGTGGATAACCAGAAGGATGGGAGATGGTTCTCTCTCGGTGGTTCCCTGAAGACACTCCGATGAGGGGTCGGGGAAAAATTTCTCAAGACTTCTTGAGAAAGGGGTTGGCAGAGATATCTGCAGGATATCACCAGACCTCAGAGAGGCCACTGGTGAAGAGTTCACTTGGACTTTCTGGTATCAGACCAGATGGATAGTACGAACAACCCAAAGTTTCGCAACTTCGGGTCTGAAGCTCGGCAGGAGTGCTCGGTCGAAGTCCGGCACTCTGGTCTTTACTTGCTCGTGCTTCGTGAAAAGATCTCTCGATGAAATCGCAATCGATTCGCAGCGGAAAACGCTCCAAAAAGCCTCACAAACAAAAACTTGCTTGCAACGCCATGAAAGCTAAAACGGTTCTGAGGACGAAAACAAACACGCGGGGAAGCCTTGGTTCCGGCGTCATTGTTACATCATGGTGAGCATGCGCGGTTTGGGAGGCGCGCCCAGAATTTCGATGTGGTTATGGAAACCTATGTTTTGTTTTACACTATGACGTCATTCCGAGCAAACACGCGCTTAATTTGCATGGATGTTGCGGAAAAGTTCAACGAACTTAATTTTGAAATTTCAGTTTTTAAACTTAGCGTAATAATAAGACACTGAATATGAAACTAAAATGACATTTTTCTAACATTATTTTGTGGGTCCTTTGGGTTTGGGATAGGTTGGGTAGGTAAACTTTTTGGAGGTGAAGATGAAATAATTCTCAACACGTGAGGTTGTTCTAGATTTTCTTTCATTAATTTTTTTTTTGCATTTTGTCGACGTCTTGAGAAACAATCACGGAAATGTCAACTTGCTTGAATTTCCTCGTTTTGCCGATGTACATTTTAAAAATGCCTTTCGCCCTTCATAATTGCACCTTCCCAAGATTTTCACACTGGCAGTATAACGAAGAAAATGACAGTATGTATATGCGAGCAAGCTCTGGCGAAAGACACTGAGACGTTTACATTCATTTTTGAACTTTAAATTTTCGAGAAAAGGGACAAAATCAGAGCAAAGCAAAATAAGACTCAACCCTCTCCTGACATAAGAAGTGAATACACGTGTTGACCTACTTGAAGTTTGAGTCAAATTCAAATATAAGCTAATTTTGTCTTTCTTGTTGTAGGTGTCTTATAAACCATTTGAAATATTTCCATTTACTATGACCTTTGCTGCTGACATCATCACTGTTCGCTTGTTTGTTACTCTTGTGACTTTCTTAGACTGCGTCCTGAAGAATTCTGTCCTGAAGGAATCTAAACTGAAGGCAACACTTCAAGGTCCGAGTTGCCGGTACCCCCCTCGTCAAACCTGTCTGCCGCAGCCCCTTGACGGCCAAGACAAGTACAACATCCCGAGCGGTGCTCTGCTGAATTTCAGCTGTTCGCGGACCGACTCGGCGCCTGCAGGTGCCGACCTGTACGGGTTGGACCGGGTACACTGTGATGACGGGTGGTTTCAACCGGCAAACTTCCCCGTATGCTTCGGTGAGTAAAAGTGGGCTGCCATTTTGTACTGAGTGTTGCAACCGTGGCCTAAATGTAAAGTGGTAAAGTCTGTCAAGAACCGTTTATCTCCGGTTTCCTTGGCAACGAGTGAGAATAATCCATTCCTCCCTGGATGGGATGCCAGTCCACCGTTACTCCCCATCTAATTGCAGTATCAATTTTTACTCCTGGGTGGGGGTGGGAGAGGCAAGTTGGGGTGAAGTGGCTTGCCCAAGGACACAACATAATATCCAGCAGCTGGAATCGAACCCCTGACCCTCTGATCATGAGTCACGAGCCCTTACCACTAGGCCACACCACCCCTCTAAATGAGGGGTCACATTCAGGCTCCTTATTAGATTTTAAGAAATCACAGTTGCAATCGATAACAAAATATTAGTTATGCCACCGTATGCATATTCCCTGCTTTTGGTATGAGAGGATACTAATGAAGATCACAGCTTTTTGGATTTCGATTTAAGGAGAAAAAAAACAAGGTTTGCTACCCGGATATTTTGCACGTCCCAAACTCCTGGGAATGTTGTCATTGGTTCCAGAATCGCAGCGACCTGTATTTTTCAAGGACTTGTATTGAGCAATTTTGCAACAAAATATGCAGATTTGAGGAAACATTGTACCCGATAAAAAAATAATGAACAGAATTCGCCTGTCTCCAACCAGAGTGAATTTGAGTCGACTCAAGTCGACTTGAGTTGACTTGAGTCGTTCCAATGCTTGTTGATTTGGTTCTGTGTGATTCAGAAACAGAAGTCTGAACTTGGGGTCAATACTGCGAGGTACATTTCATACAATCTGACTAATGTTAGTTATTCTTTTAAACTTAATTCCTTGCTTTTTCTATTTTAATTTGACAAGATCGGTGCCAGATCAATGAGCAAAACTTGACATCTGCCGGTCTGAACATCAGCGGTGGGCAGGTGGCTGAAGGGAACACTTTGCGTAGTGGGGACAGCTACACGGTTCACTGCAGTGCTGTGGATGAAACACTGTGGGGACATGCGACCATTTACTGTATGGACGGGGAGTTTGTGCCTTCAGTCTTGCCCGTATGTTGCCGTGACGGTAATTTCGATTCCTTGACTTTCATTTAAAACCGAAACTCCCGACCCTTCACTTCAAAATCAAACACTTTCGTAGACTTCAGCGCGTCCCAAAATACCCGCAACTTTTTTTTTGGCGAGGCTCTAGCGTCGGCGCGGAAACACGTACCGCCATTATTTTTATACCATTTTAAAGCTTGGATTCTGAAATTTATTGGTGTGAAATTTAAAAGAGTTTTAAAATTATTCGTGTTCTAATAAAAGGCATGTCGAAAACAAACTCGACCGATTTCAAGGAAAATCGATGAAGCGGTACATCAGAGGCAAATTCGAGTCACACTTTAAGCGCGCTTTTTGAATAGGTACATATGCACTTGAATTTCAAAACTGAACTTGAAACGAAGAACAATATTGTGAATTAATTTAAGTTTTAGTCTACGCGTGGATCGCAAAGAATAGGAAACACAGAAAGTAAAAGGCAACGAGATCGTCACATCATGAACATGATAAACCGTTTCCACATTAGAAAACATGCGCATGATTGATTGATTTTCCTTAAAATCGGTCGAGTTTGTTTTTGACATGCCTCTATTTGAACACGAATCATTTCAAAACCCTTTTAAAAAACAAACCAACACCCACCAGAGATAAACTTAAGATAAGATTCTAAGCTTTAAAATGATATAAAAATGATGGCAGTACGTGTTTCCGCGGCGAAGTTAGAGGCTCGAAATAATTGCGGGTATTTTGGGATGCACTGTAGTAAGACCCTAATGTGAGAGGTTTCAGAAGTTTCTTTTCGCCGCGGTTGATACGAAGAAGTCAATAAGATATAGGTGCCGGTCACCATCGTTTTCCAAAGTTTGGCACAGTGTTATTAAAACAAAATAGCCGCATTAATCAATTTGAAAAATCTGTTATTATTGATTTTCAGTGCCGCGCGTGGCTCGTTAAGTAGTGCGTTCGCGCGCAATTCTCTGACTATTTTTTTCTATTTCTGCAAGTGAGTAAATTGGGGGGGGGGGTAGTGTTGAGAAATAAGCGGAATGGTCGAGTAATCACAACAATATTTTTGGACACTGACCAAGTTCATTGCCCTAATGAATTTCAGTGCTGTGTTATGCACGCTGTGTAAACTCCTGCATGTTGTGAAAAGGGCTATACGATTATAATTGGAATCATTTGCCTGGTTATCAGTCATCATGGCAAGACCTCAGTTTAATGTTCAAGGGCAAATGATTCCAATCCCAAACCACATCAGAAAAAGGCTTAAGCCTTTAGGATGATGAGTTTTTGCACAATCAATTCATGGTTTTGTAGTAATTTCGAAAATAGTCAGACAGACACTTTTTTTGGGGGGGGGGACAAACTGTGTTTAACAGGCAATCTTCGTTTTCAGATTCAATCGTATTTTGTTACAGAATTAATGAGTACTGTCCTCTCTCTATATATTTCCCAGGTGGCACAGTTGACAAAGAACAACCCTCGGACACCGTGTCGATGGTGACTTTTGTAGCCGTGGTAGCGCCCACGGGTGTTGCCGCCGCTCTGCTGTTCATCGCTCTCGTGGCCGTCTGGAGAAAGACACCGCCGCGAAGGTGGGACAGTCAACTTACAAAGAAATGTCGGCAAAATTATTGTCGTAAAATTGGATACAACACCTTCTGAGCTATCAGTGTTTTGTTTCAGTAGTGGTTGTCCGTCGAATCGACTATGATGTCCTCACACAACACAAGGTTTAATTGTTTAGGTACTTGTGACTTCATGGCTTCGCAGGCCAAATTCAGAGAGACAGAGCCACTCACGCGCCTTGTTTTAGTCCTAAGGGATAAAAAGGACTGCAATTTTGGAAAGCTTCTGATGGATTTCCAATTTCAATATCAAATTCAGTTTCAAATGTAAATGTTTGAATTTCGTGCATTGAAATTGGATTTAATAACCAAACTACTTCTTTTTTTGGTTTGTTTCTTTGTACTTCTACTACAAACTAGTGAGGAACGGTCGAAAGAAAGACAGAACAGCAGGGAAGTCATGATTGTGAACACCGCCTTCGCATCCGATCGTTCCCCGTCAACCTCGATCCCACCGAACGTGCCCGAGCGACCCTCCAACAGTTACTTCTCCTCAGCCGGGGTCTCCGAGTCATACCTCACGCCCACCGTCAAGGACCCGCCCACCGACAGCAAGGGCTCGATCTACGACTACATCGATCCCAAATCCACAGATTATTACCTTGAACTGGTGGCGTAGATGGAGGTAAACTCATAGTCGTTTTTGTGGGGAGTGTGGCCTAGTGGTAAGGGTTTGTGACTCATGATCAGAGGGTCAGGGGTTCGAATCCAGCTGCTTGTCGTATGTTGTGTCCTTGGGCAAGCCACTTCACCCCACTTGCCTCTCTCCACCCAGGAGTGTAAATAATAGCTGGGGAGTAAACTGCAATGGACTAGCATCCCATGCAGGGGGAATAGAAATATTCTCAGTCGTTTCATGCAACTGAAACCGGAGATAAACGCCGGCCTGATGGGTTAGGGCCTACATTGGCTCGTGACAGACTTTAGATTTGCTTTACTACTTCATAGTTTTTTTTTAAGTGAGACTTAAATGTCTCCTGACGACGGACAGAGCACACTGTTCGAAACGTCGAGTTTAAACAACTGGTTCTTCTCAGAATCACACAACTCAAAGGAGATATCATTCACATGGTGTTACCGCAAACCTTCCATCCATTGGTCATAGTCGTTTGGCGGAAACAGTAGGGGTACTTCCAGAGCGTAGAAGAGCCGCAAACCACCAATTAGGGATAGTTTGTGTATATTGTTCTGTTTATCCAGCCAACTTTTTTCAGATATTTATGCGATAAGTGAGATTCCTTTCCTCCCATTTCTACCAAAAACTTGATATCCGTTAAAATGACATGCGAGGAGAATTGTATTGCCAATGCAGTTTGGTTGAGGAACCACAGACATAATAAGCCATTGACCGACGAAGGCATCGGTTCCAAGCGACGTCAGGGTACCACACACGCGATACCTCGCCAGACTGCAGCAGCTCTTGCCCGAGGTATTACCACTTTCGTATTGGCTCATTCTGCGCACGTGACCCGGTCCTCCGATTGCTCATGCAAGGTCCAGAGTACACTCCAGTAAAGTGGCCAAAATCCGTCCGCCGAGCTCTTGAATAAAAGTTATACACTCACATTATTCTATATTAGAGAGTTCTGAGAGCCGTGGAATTGGGGAATTGAAGACATAATGGCACTGCACCTCTAGTCTGGACTTGGGACTTCCAATTCTGAGCATTTTGGATGCAATTGGGTCCGAAAGTGGCGCCATGTAGCCATGTTGTGGAGGGATCCTTTTTTTTCAAAATGGCCACTTTCTCAGGTTGGGAAACATCATTCGTTTCAGTGGTGGTCTTCTCTCGGGGTGAGAATTTCTCGAAAAGGCAATGGTCAACCCACCATTAATTGAAAAGAAAATGAAAGATGACATGTTGATCATCAGTTTTCTGTGCAGCCTGAACACCTGCGAGAGTTTTGATTATTTTTAAAAAGAATTGTGAAATATGGGGATTTAACACTGGTGTATATGGGATTTGTATACTTGGGTGCACCCCCACGACTTTGAAAGATTCACCTAGTGCGCCCTCGCCGGCCGTATGCATTTTCTTTGAGGTGTTTGACACTTGGTGGCGGTGTGACACGAAATCAAATAGAATCTCCATGTACAATAACCAGGAGGGTTTGTTGTTTAAAATATAACGGTTGATAAATTGTATTTGTAAGAATACATATTGTAAATAGCGGTTCGGAAAATAGCGAATCTTAGCATTGCTAGGCGTCTGAGTGCAACTTTAATTTCGAGCTTTTAAGCATTGTTTTGTAAATGATTCTCTTAAATTTGTTAAAACAAATTCTGGAATTTTCCCCAGATTATCAGCTCACTTTCCTTCTCGCGCAAATTGGCCAGAGTTTTTTTTCTTTGAACATTTAGTAAACTAAACTACATCGCCAGCCGTTAATCAACAAAACCGATTTACATTTTAAGATTTTGTTTTTGATGATATTGGTTTATATTGCGAGACAACTTAAGAGAAGAGAGAGAGCGAAGAATGTTTGTTGACATAACTTACTGTTTATTTAATATATATTGCATATCGTGTGCCTTTTAAAACAAAACAAAAAATTATACTTTACATATGTTATTGTATACGATAAGTACATAGTGTGGAATAGTATATTTCATAATGTTTCAAATTCGTTGGTGTTTAAAATAACTATTTATACTAATTACAGACCAACTTTGATATTAAATAATTCAATATAATACAGAGTATGTTATTTAGCTATATATTTATAATATTGGTTTTGCATGAAAATATTAAAATACCCTGAAACTCACTACTACAATATTTCATTCCGCTAGGAGGTATATCATACACAATAAACAAAAATTACTGAAGTTGATTTTTAATCCATTTTGTTCTCGACCAATCACATTTGTTTCATTCGCTCCGTGCATGAAATACAGATGGCGCTCTTTGGTCAACCAACGATGGCCAATGAAGGACGCATCACGCGACAACAAAATGGATCCCAAGTGTCCTTTAGTGATGGTGCATTTGTACCGCTGAGGGCGTTCTAATGCACGGAATCCACTCGGCCGGCAACATGTTGTCCAACTGCAACAGGCGTGGTCTCATTCCCGATTTTGGGAAGCGTGGGATGTTCAGTAATTTTGGACAAGCAAATTCCCATGACAAATCTCTCTTTTTTTGTTACAGAAAGTTGTAGGCGCCAAAGGAATAGAAAACAAAACTTGATTTAGAAACATCTCAGTGTCCACCTTGCCCCATGCACAGATCGGCTGCTGTGTACACCAGAGTCGGTATACTGCTGGTTCTTTTGAGATTCAACCGGCATTAGATTCTACGTGAGATGGAAAACTGTGGTAATAACGTGCAGCAATGATGCTCTGATATGTACTAGCAGTTTACTGCAAGTCGCTGCAGGGCAGTTAGCAGCTGCCGAGATCAGCAAGGCAGCGCAGGACATAACACAGAACAGGGTAAAAAGTCCAACTGCTCCGATGAAATTAACGAGGGTGATAATACAGGACGGGTCTTGTGACCAGCGTTACTGCCTCACTGCCAAACATGGGAAGATAGGTGCAGCAAGAACTCAAGGAAAGAAGTGTGGAAACTAGAAGTGAGAGATCGGGGAGTATTTATTGATTGATATATTTTACTCCATCCATTCACTACTTCGAACAAACTCATCACACTTTGGCACGACGTAACATTTTGAATCGTCTGAAAAATAACCACCCACAGAGCTGCAGCTACCAACGTCTTGGCATATTGCAATCAAGAACATCATCTCTCACTTTGAGTTTTTTTCTTTCTCTTCATCGATTATTATCAGCTGTCAGAATCCGTAACCATCTCTTTTTGTCTTCTGATCTTGCGACCTCCCACCATCAGGAAGGCATAGTCCGCATCCTCCCGACTCTCAGCACCGTCTTTGGGGTTCCCCATCAGCGGGTCCCCAGCACCGTTCCTCGGCGAGGCTCTCTCGCTCTCGCCGCTGTGCTTTGCCCCGGCGTCCGGCCGGTTCTTCCCGCTGCCCGCACCGGCAACGACCACCGCCGGTGCGTCTTTAGTCCTGTTCCAGCCGTATTTCTCCCGGTACAGCCTCATGAAGGGGGAGTCCAGCCCAGTCCGGTTGTCGGCCTCGCTCGGAGTCTTCCAGCTCGGGTGGATGAACTTGATGTTGTACTTCTGGGCCCAGCGGGCGAAGATGAACTTCTCAGTGACGAAGAGATGGCCGCTTGTCAGTCGCTCCTCGCTCTTCATGTAGTAGCCGCACTCGGTGCGCGTGGTGTTGCCCGCGTTGCCGTAGTAATGGTATGGCGTGGAATCGTTTGGGTGCTCCCTGGAGTTGAGATCCAAAACAGAAAAAAAAACGACCCGTAAAAGAAAATGATGAACTGTTTTGTCTTAGAACTAAAACAGTGAAACATAGAACAAACTGTATCGGGACTTGCACCTACGACCCTAGATACACCACAACGGCGTTTTTTGGCAAGTTGACCTATAAGCTGGTTGGAGGTTTCCCAATAAAGCCAATGTCTTTGTACATGGGGCTCTTGTCAAAAAACAAGTTAAAACGACATGCTAAAGACCCACGCACGCCTTCATCATTTTTTTTGGGGGGGGGGGGGTTCATATCAAACAACGAGTATACATGCCGAGCACCGGAGGCCACAGGTCTGATATGAATGAGATTTTCGACAACATCAGGCACGATTACGCATGCCTGAAAATCATCAAATTCACCAGAGAGCATTACTCAAAGTGCATTGCGCTCTCTTTGAGCCATATCGCCATGAAAATGCCTTTTTTCCCTTCTCAATTCAGACACTCAAGGGCCTAGCCTCTCCACAAAAAAAAAAAAAGCATTAGCGACGTGTCCCCTCCAAAAGCTGCCTTGCATGATCGCGCCTTATCTCTCGCTTCTTCGGCAAGCAGCAGTCGCCATGGCAACGCATCACTTGGGAGAGGAAAAAAATACCGACCGGAAGAGGTAGTTACGGCGAGAGCGAGCGAATTGAAAACCGGCCAGTGTTTATCATCTTTACTCAGGCCCGGACGCGCGGGTACAGTTCGCCCCGTGAGTGACTCGGGACGTATCGATAGCACGGCGTGTGGCAGGTCGTCACATGGTCCCCTGGAACCTATCGAATGACTTGCAAGCAGGGTAGGGTTATCAATTCCGAGAGAGCGGATGCCCGAATGGTGCTAATTGGTCGATTTGTATTGAAAGCCCCGGGGAGTTGCCACAAATACATGACTTCAGAGAATCAGATCTTTAACAAAACGGTCGGTACAGAATTAAAAACAACTTTACAGTGACTTCTTTTTTTTTTCTCCCCACGTTAAGACGATGCCGAAAACAACACTCGAATTCTAAACAAAATCAGGCATCTTTCCTAAGGCCCTGAAGTTTCGTCTCAGTGAATACATCCGACTCGGCCGCAGATTCAAACGCAAGGCCACGTTGGGAAAGCTTCAGCCGACATTATTATGTGCACGCTGTTATTAAATTACGCGTCCTAGACGAGGCTTAATTCGAGTTTGATTTCTGATTCCCTTTCGAATTCAAGGCTGAACGCCTTTCACGGCGGTCTCACTTGCATAGCGCGCACGCAATCTGTAATGTGCTAGTTCAGTATTTGTTAACCCCAATAGCGCCTGTGACGTCACACAACATGGCGCTTGCCATGCACGAACAAAACGTGTCGATGTTTTGTCAAAAGAATTGTCAAAATTTGACATTTAAAACAAAACTGTTTATTTCCCCAAAGACAACCAGATCTTGCTGTTATGGAAAACATGTACTGCGAAAGGAAATGTCTTTTTTCTTTTTTAAATTAAAAAAAATCAGTTTGGACTCACAAGCAGTAGTCTCCGTACACCATTCCGTACACGATGAGATCATCGCACATATCCAAGGCTAGCAACATCGTGTGCCATCCGGTGGTCAGCCATGTCTTGGCCTGGGTCCTGATGTCAAAGGTCAAATAAAACAACAAAGATGGTCAATAATGTACAACCTCATTTTTATACTAATAATGTTGTGCTTATGCGCTTTATACCAAAGGTCTCAAAGCGCTTCACAATTTTATACCACTGTTCATCAGGCCATATGAGACCAGTTCTTCTGCAGCAACGGATCAGCGCATTTTGGTCTCTTCCTTCACAGGTACCTACTTATACTCCTGGGTGGAGAAAGGTAATTGTAGTAAAGTGTCTTGCCCAAGAACACAAGCATCAGCGCAATCTAGTCTCTACCTTCACAGGTACCAATGTATACTCCTGGGTGGAGAGAGGCAATTGCGGTAAAGTGTCTTGCACAAGAACAAAAGCATCAGCGCAAACTGGTCTCTACCTTCACACGTACCCATTTATACTCCTGGGTGGAGAGAGGCAATTGTAGTAAAGTGTCTCGCCCAAGAACACAAGCACCATATTCTCCGTCAGGGTTCGAACCGACGTACCGCGGCACACGAGTCGAACACCGTAACAATTGGGCCACAGCGCTCCACAAAACCGAAAGTATTTGCGTGAGACAACTCATATCCAAGAGTGGACGCAAAACGAATATGGCGCCTAAAATGTGGCATTCCAATCACATGGTGATTTCGGTGTCTACGAATTGTTTGATCACGTGCTTCGTGCGTTACGAGTCACGTGACCCACTCACCTGGTGATGCCGGTCTCGTTGTGGAAGACCTCGTTGTTGTACCGCATCATGGCCAGCGTGTGCATGTAGAAGCTGACATTCTTGTACAGCTGCGAGTAGTTGAGTATCAACCGGTAGGCCGGGTTCTTGTAGACGTTGGTGGCGTACAGCCAGGCGATGATGATGTTCTCGCTCTTGGTCCTCTCGTACATGAAGTGAGTCTTTTGGTTGCTGGGCTTGTTCTGGAAGGTGGGCCGGAAGTTGGAGTGACCCACGACCCTGACGGTGGTGCGCGAGCCGACATCTGCCTCGTAGCGCCGCGTGGGGGCGTCGTTCATGCGGATCACGCACTCCGTGGCGTCGATGGCCTTGCCCGCCCTCTTGCCTAAGAGCTGACCGGAGCTGGTCACCAGTGCGCATGTGTGGCATCGGAGTTCAAACGGCTGTAGAAAGGAGGACACTAAAGTATTTATAGAACCCGAAACTAACTGGAAAAGTTGACTAGGTTTAGTTTAATCAATTTGTTGTACAAAAAAGTCTGAATTTGAAATTTGAATTGGGGTCTCCTGGAACTCATTTGTCAGCCTTTTAGACATAACAATACCTTGTGGTCTGGCACAGATATGGGCACCATCATCTGCTGCCGGTGCCTCTGGAACGTCTCGTTCTTGGGGATCTTCCGTAAGAGGTGAGGGTAGCACCGGGGGAACGGGCAGGAGAGCGGCCCGCGGGCGAAAAACGCAGCCCCGCCGCTGGATACGTCCGCTCCAGAGGTATCGACGTAGTAGTAGAAGAAGAAACAGATTAAGAAGGAGTAGAAGGAGGCGAAGAACAGCATGCTACATGGACCCTGTGGAGAAGAAAGAATTGGAATCGAATATTAAAATTCAAATCTAGCACCAACATTTGCATACCTGATGCAATGATGTAAACCTTTCAGCAGCAAAAGTTAAATTTCTCAAAAGTGTTGCCGTAGTTATGTCCTTTCTTGATAGAAACCGAATCGGACAACCGAAGCGGACGGACATCTAGCTACATCTCTCCCACCACTAACTGTAAGACGCTACGTTGCATCATTGAGATTGTTCTACGGGTACTGTTATTGGATGTGCTTGCGGGGAACGTTCACTTCTCGTTTCTCCATGGTAAATCTTCACCTGCTCTGCAGCATTTGTTGCATCCCCTTCATACAATTTTTTCTTAATGGGTGGCGCTGGTTGAGGTGTTCTTCTTCTGCCTCATTATGGACACTCCTTGCAAGAATCCGGCTTTCCCTTCAAATTATTTACTTCAATGAAAGCAAATTGTTCAGCGGTTTCTACTTTCTCTTACAGATTGTATCTGTCTTTTCTTCCTTCTACATATAGCTGCCATCTTGATGGACTGGAGACCAGCAGATCTCATAACACACGTGTATATGAGGACAGGCATCGGCCACGCGTGGTCTTCTATTTTATTGGTTGCCAATAGTTTGGTTGGCCTACTTCTCCTGCACAATCATGCGTCACGCTTAACCAGCGAGGCATCCTATTGGTACGCGCGTAGATATTTAAATTAGGTTGACGCCTACAATATAGGTCTTTCTGGCCGGTATCAGACTTTGAATGGCCCGCCTGTGTTGAAGTGGAGTGCCTTTTGGATTTCGGTTCTTAAATAAAATGATTCAAAATATACACTTTTTTTTTAAAGAAACTACTAACATCATGTTACTTACGCAACTCCTGCCAGTGATTGGGTTCTGGAAGCACATGATGACGAGTGTCCCGCTGATCCATGGAGTCACGGACATCGGGCTATCGTGATCATAGTGCGCCCCCTCTTGTCCCATACGGTGTACTCGATTTCAGCCACAGAGTTCGCTTTGGTACAATCCATTAATTAAAGGTAGTCAGGAAACTAGACTGGTTGCAGCAGTTTCCAGTAACGACGGACCTGAAAAACGAAAGCACAGAAGACAGATAGTTTCAATTGATATATAGGGATACTCGTTACAGTTTGATTTGAACCAGTTATCAATATTGTAAATGAGGGTTGCTTTTTCCTGTCGGAATCATACTCGCAACATCAGGTGTTATTAGTCATTTCTTATTTTAACTTTGCCTTAATTTTAATTCATTGCCTTATTCAATGTTCAGTACTGTAATAAGTAAGTTAAGTAAAAAGGGATGCAGTTGGGATTGGAATCATTTGCCTGGTTATCAGTCATCATGGAAAGACATCAGTTTAATGCTCAAGGGCAAATGATTCCAATCCCAAACCACATCAGCCTTTTATTACAACATGCAAGATGTTACACAACTTACATAACACAGCACTGAAATGACTCAGGCATTGAATTTGGTCACAGTGTCCACAAATGATGTTTTGCTCAATTGACAATTGTAGAGTGATGCGTGACTGAAATTAAATGAAACTCATAAGGGTTGAGGCCAAGGCTTAGGAGTATCTGCACAACCAAAAATGTTTAAAATTAATCTCATGGTTTTGTAGTTATTTTAAAAACAGTCAGACGAACACTATTTGGAGGACATATTGTATAACAGGAACACTTTCAAGATGATTCGACCATAAAATTAAACCGGCACGAGTCTCGTAGTTCACTGGTTCTGTGAGAACATTGAATATGGTTGACAAGCCAGTAAAATTAACAGTTACTGCTTACCACCGCTTTTACCGACCATTTGCTTCAAAAAAAGGTTTTTAACCCGAAGTCTCCCCTTTAAATACAAAATCTTAGCTTAATGTGGGACACCTCAGGGTACGACAGACTGCATATATTATTACATCACTTACGTGATCATGTGGCCCGCAAGATGTGGCCGGCGCATATGTAATAGCATGGCGCAGCCGAGTCGATTAATTTGATGGCAATCTAAATGCATGAAATGATTTTCCCCGGGGATAATCTTTCTGCTCAGATTGCACGGAGAGGCCCTCGGGGAGTGCAGGGCTCGGCCATATACGCTGGCCCGTTGCAAGCCGATCGCGGGCCACAAAGCCCCCGCAATCATGCTAATGTGTACATAGTGCACGGGGTAAATTTTAATTTGCCCGTTGCTTTCCCGTGGCTGAAACCATTATAATTCATTCCTTTATACTCAAATAACAAAAATGGCCGCACGGGGACTACGCTCACAAGTTCACGACGCCAATTTCAGTGTCTTATGAAATTTGAAACTGTATGGAATTCGTCACCGTGCGCGATATATAACATGTAATCTGTATAGCTGCGTATTCTGTGTCATGCGCAGTATAGTCAAGGAGTATCTAATTCACCGGGTACAATAATATTTTTACAATTCGGCAGGTGTTGCATGGAAATTGGTCCATGAAATTAAGCGCCAGTTGCGCAAACAAAAACGCCACTTATATCCAGCGGCATCAAATCCTCTTGAATACCTCTCGATAGGCCTATATTATGTTCCTTGACGCATTTCCAACTCCAAGCAACTGAGAAACATCATAAGTATATTCAACATGAAAGCTTAGAACAATTGAGGGGGTAAGAACCAGCCGAAGCAGGTGTTTTCGAATCCAGGTCATCTTTTTTGTTCGGATACGGATTAATTATATAGTCGGGCTCCCTGCCAGCAGCTGAATGCATATTTAAACGGAGATGGATATCGCCGGTCCAATATATTGTGAATATATTATAAACACAAGAGTGCAGGTAGCTGCAGTTGCATACTGCATCGTGGAAAGTGCATATAATAAAATGATATAATATAGTTTAAATATATATATTCAAACTATACATGATCTATATCTTTTATCTTTGTCCTGTACGTCATTCTTTTACGAACTTTGTTATTTTATAATACAACAATCCACCAGCATCACAAGCATCGCAAACTATCAAATATGTATCATATCTGTTCATCAATTTCTTGTATAAATTCATCGCAATTATCTTGTTTACTGCGACCGACCGTGCTGGCTGCAAGTTTTCTGCGACATGACGATGATCACAAGAGGAGCTCACGAAGTTGGAAAGAAATTTGATGTGAAAAAACAAAAACTACAGCGAGGCTATCTGCGGAGAAAAAAACAAACATGACCTATATTTATTTTACAATTTTGGTTTGTAGCGTGGCAAGCACTATCCTCATGGGGCGGATGAGCAGCATCCTTGCACGGCCTTCCCGGTGGACTAACAAGTTGCTGCTCGCTCGGAACACGCGCGCCTAAAAAGGAAGTGTTCTTTTATGGCTGTATAACACGATATGGTTGGAGGCCTCTTACGGGTATACGGATTATCATATCATACACAGAGAGAAGCACTCTACATGTGTTTGCTTTTCTTCTGGATGGAGGTTGGGGGAAAGAGGACGCAGGTTGGGAGCTCCAAAGGGACGGAGCAAGAGCAAGATTGCTTGGAAACCGTTTCATGGTATTTGGAGCAGCCATTTTACACATGCGTTCTATAAATTCGGATCCACTTCTTTTCCTGTCCCTGTTACATTTGACATCTATGATTTTATAATTCTGATACATTTCTTAATGCAGTCGTCCTCCAAGAGTGATTATGAACAGCAAACTACCTCCCCCCTCCCCGTCAAAATAACCCATCCTTAAAGTCATTCTTAATGATACAGTGCTTGAAAGGTAAATTACACAATACCAAGATACAAAACTAGAAAGTGTCACACTTGTCCATAAATCTATAGAATATCCCGTATATCCCTGCACGCCTTTAATGGATAAATGCATATCAAACGTGTTATTGGAGGACACTTGGACGACATTGCTGGAGTGCGCCATGGGTAGTGTTAATTTAAAACCATGAACAGTGTTAGTTTTACACTGCAGTGTGAATGAGAGGACCGCTGTCGAAACGCAGAGATACTTTAAAGGTACAACATTGGGTTTTGCTGGGTGGATTTGGGGGTTATAGTAGTTTATAATAAACTTTATTACACTGGCATGTTTACAGTTTTATGTCCATAGATGATGGATATTTTCTTGTGGTATTGTTCCCTGACCTTACTTCAGATGAAACGCAGCAATTCATGGACATGAGGGAATTGTCAGGTCAGGGAACCAGAATAGCTGGCTTGCACCTGTTCACGGTACGGATGTATAACCGATTGCAAACACAATGTGGGCTAAAGGGCAGCATTTGAAAAAAGGCATTTGATACTTGTCAATAAAACTACATGTGACAGCACACCAGGTGTCATGATTTCACAAGATATGCATTAGGCTATTATTCACTTACAGTCAGTCAAGTGAGGTATTTCATAATAATTTGGTAGTTCTGTTTGTTGCTGATGTTCGCAAATGTTGTATATTCCTTTAAGATATAGCTTAGATATAGGAGCAGCCCCTTTATGTTTTCTTCGGAGCATTCCAAGTCGCTGCGTGGAATGCTTGTTCGAGATATACGACCTATGCAGGCGTTGACTCTTTACGTCTGACTTTTTACCGAGAAAAGGTCTCGTATGGGGTCGTTCGTCATTCCCTTCCCCCCGGAGCCCGTGATGGATTAACTACCCAATGCCGAGACGTCGCGCTGCCGCCATGAACTTCTTGGTTTCGATGTCTTGTATACCGAGGTTTGAAATGCCAGATTAGTACGCGAATAGATGAGGTACGGCGTAATGTTACATTATACTTCCGTGTTAAACACATGTTGACAGCACATTGAAGGACGAGGGTCATGAACTATAAGCTTGGAATATACATTCGGAGAACGGGAATGTGTGGCGGATCTGCGGGGAGGGGGCAGGCGGTCTCCCCCCCCCCCCGGCCGCAAAACAAAATGGAGAATTATGCAGAAAAAAACGTAGCACGTGCCTGCTACATCCCCGCCCCCTTGACAGCTATCGTCCCCCCCCCCCCCCCACCCCGAGCCAAAAGCTGGATCCGCTCCTGGAACATAGGTAAATCACTTTCAGTCACGTGATTCAGAAATAATGTTTCTATTTACAGCAGAAACGACCGTTAGGCCTATGAAAATGTCCTAAACAAACATTCGTAGAGCGTAGGGTTTCAAAACCAAAGACAGGTGCCGGTTAATGATAATCGCTTAATTGTGACTCAGCTCTGAGCTGGTTATTTTTAGGTTAGCGCTTAAATGTAATAAACAATATTTGAAAACATCAAAACACAAAACTGCCAAATTATCATACAATACCTTTACTTGACTGTAAGTGAATAACAGTCCCATGCATCTTGTATAATCACGGCACCTGATGTGCTGCCATTCTCAAGAAAAGTATTTTTTGTGGATACCAATTCCCAACGTTGGTCGGCAGACTTTTTTTTCAAATATACCCCAATTTACCAATATCTTAGTCCACATTTTCTTTGCAATTGATTACACATCCGTGATCGTGTGCAAGCCAGTTAGTCTGGTTCACTGACCTGACAATTCCCCGACGTCTATAAATTGTTCCGTTTCGTCTGAAGTATAGGGTCAGGCTACCAGAACAACTTTTTTTTGTCCTGCATACTTTTTCGTCTTGCAGCTCCATATCATTGGGCCCTGATTAGTCCATATTACAAATGTACATGTAATTATTTTAATCAGGAGTATAATCAAGTGAATCACAGAGCAGTAACAAGTCAATCACAAGTCAAATCGCAACCAAGCTCTTACTTTAGGTAACGGAGAGTGGATACCTGTACGGCAGCGTAAAATTCGCAGAGGACAGTTAGGGTCCTCATTTTCTCGAGGGGGTACTTAGTGGGTTGTCAATAGCTCATCTCTGCCATCCCTCAGATTCTGAGCGGTGGAGGTGGGAAGGAGAGCAGAAAGGGCAGGGGCCAGGGCCCAGGCCCGACCCGGGGGGGGGGGGGCTTGGGGACACGCCCACTTAGTTACGTCACTAAATGGATGATGATAAAGAAATACATGGGCATGCCTTTATCACAGCTCAGACAAAAAGATTGTCAATTTACGTTGAACTGCAATTGCGATATTTGAGAATTTTGATCATCTCTGATAACCTCCTGTTGATTGCTAATGCCAGAATTTGTCCTGATGATGTGACTGACCGAAGGCCTACAGCCATGCAACCGACGACCACTCGTCATAATATCAGCCCCATCTCCCCACAGATTCTCCTTGCCGTGTTTTTACGGGGGATTTTAGCTCATTCCGGAGCTGTTTGGACTGACAGGTCTCTGCAGCCCGCTTGATCCCCATGCCCGCCGGGCAAGTAATTCATTTCTAGGCGCGCCAGAGTGACACGATGTTATTTGTCGAGCTCCTATAGCCGGACAGAGCCGTTCGACAAGTTGCAGTTCGTGGGTGGAATTAGGAAGGGACATTGGAGCCTTTTAAGGCCCACACTGAAATAAGTCCTTCTCCATTACCTATATTAACTCCCCCGCAATGTTTTCGTATTCATTTGCTGCAAAAAAATCCCACCAGATTTCATTCCCCCCCGTAAAAAGTGATTTAGATATGTTACAATGATGACTTTTGTGCCTCAAGATTGACACAAAATCGTTCTGTATTCCTTAGTCGCATATCTTTTTCTTGTGAATTACTCGGTAGAAATTAAAGTCAAAATGTTAAAGTGGAAATATCACTTCTGTTAAAATAAATCGGGAAAACATTTAAAGAAAAAGATGGTTTTTTTATCCTTCAACAGCAAAAATTGATTTTTGTTTTTCATTTTCAATTGGACATTGGAACGCTTGCCGTGGTTCTTTCAGCCATGCGATTGCCTCGATTTAAATATCGTCAACCAGCAAAAACAAATCTATTTTATTTTTGATGCCTCAATCTTGTTATTGCTCCAATTAACACTCAAATGCTTCCTGGAATGGACCGATGGAAACGTTTTTTCCTCTCAAGTAACCAAAGTATAATCACTTACTTTCAAGCCCGACAAAAGAATGGTATGCAACTAATGAATTTTTATGAGTGTAATGGTAAGAATAATTTCCTCATGAAATTGTTCTTTCCATTGCACGAATGTGAAACATTGTTTTATACAACACCTGATTAAATCCTCGTCATCTGATTGGCCATGAAATTGTTCTTTCCATTGCACGAATGTGAAACATTGTTTTATACAACACCTGATTAAATCCTCGTCATCTGATTGGCCAGAGCCGCCAATAGTGTGACCGTGCAATCGAACTTTATTTACCATGGAATAGAACTTGATTTTTTGCGGTACGGCCGTGCCGTGGGTTGGGACGAGTAATTCAATGACATGTGATCAACGACCAACCAATGAGATGACGGGGATTTATTTGAATGTATATCTTACACAATGAGTGAATGGAAAAATTGGATGCTAAAAATTTCAAAAATCGTGCCTGACATCGTTTTAAATCTATTATAAACATTCTTTCCTGGTATATTCTTAGTTTTCTTACCATGGAGGAATGTTCTTACTGACATCCCAATTGCCGTCCAAAATACATCACCGGACACGTACGGATTCTTCTTATAGTTTTCTGTTTTGCAATTTATATAGCAATGACCTTACCAGTTATTTATACAACAGAAACAACATCATTCTGGTCACAACAGAAACAACGTCCTTCTGGTCATAGCCTCGTGAAAACAAAACATTGATAACTCAATCCTATAATAACATAAAGTATTTTTAGAACTTATAAGAAAAAAAAGGTAATTAATATCCGAATACATCCTGCGAAGTTTATCATTTTGTTTTCGATTTACTATAAAGGCTGTGCTTGAAATTACACATGGGTCTGTGTGAAGTGGCTGCCGCGCCACTACCATAGACTCGTGTGTAATTTCAAGCCGCAGCCAAATTCGGACACGTCCTTACACATCTCATTGCATGTGTAGCCCATTTGTATACTTTCCCGCAATGGTTGGAAGATTTTTCCCAGCACCACCCAAAGATCCAACTCACCCACCTCCTAAACACCTCAAACGCCGACGACTTACCGCTCTGAGCCGTACCATCTCCGTCGCCAGTTCTGACAAGGATATTAAATTCCCGTCACTTCGTCATCAACTGACACTGTGGCGTTATACGTGAGACATTATCAATTGGTTGATTACACCGTTCTTATGCTGTCATAACTTCACCTGCCTGCCCCCGTCTTTGCGTCACTCCCGCGTGCATACCGCCAGTATGGCATGTGCATGATAAAACGCCGTCTTGTTATTTTGAAGAACAGCATCCAATATTGCGAATTCCTGTCGCATATTTATCCAACGGTCCGCATTATTATGAGAGTGATATGAGAGTGCGCCGGAGTACGGCATGCATATACTGTATTTATACAAGGGGTGATTTTTTCCCCCACCAGACATCAAGAGCTCAGAAAATGCTGAAGTCAAGCCAGCGTGAAAATGCGCAGCGAGCACCGGCGGTTGATGGTGGCTGACCCCTCCATAAACTCGTCTCGCCCGGGGCTTGTTTTATCCAACCTCACGGTCCATCTCGTGACCCGTGGGCGATGTTTACATCGACCTCGAACCGTCTGTCGCCATCACCCCACTTCTAAACATGAAGGGGGTAAAAGTCGGACCATCAGCCTGCCCCGTTGAATGCAAAATTCACCGAGTACTGCTCTAGTACAACCTCGGAGAAGTAGGCCGGCTGCTTTTGTGGTGCACTGCACACAATTATTCAAACTCCAAGGGTGAGAGACCACGCTGAAGCGGAGCGCAGTTCAACCGGGGCAACCTCCGCTCTCGGCCCACAATACAGCCTGTTTACTGTTAGTACCGAGGAGTAAATTCCGATGGGATATCGACAAAGAGAACAAGTGCTGAAGGAGGCAACTATTCATTCCACGGCCTACATGCCGAACCACTGAGGATGACAGAATCGTCTGGCCTCGGCGGAGACAATCGGATCTACAACGGCATCACAACAGAAATAGTGCAAATTATCTCAGATCTTAAAACGCGAGACAACTCGCAGTGACAGCGGTGTTTTCACTCTCCCCGGCCGCCGGAGCGTAAGATAAAACGAGACGAAAATTACCCTGTCGTCTGTTATCTCCTAAACTAAAACGGTGACGTGCACCGAGTACTGCATCACATTCTGTGTTGTAGCTTAGACACGTCTCGGCTGGTTATGGACAGGGCATAGTGATACCTAATGGTAGAGTACAGCGAGTAAGGCGCGCATCCCTCATTGCAATACCGACTCCAAGTCACAAAACCCCGCCGGCAAATATTGACGGATAGCCTGGTGTATTAAAGGTAGACGGTGGGATTTGTAAGTTGTCCTCTTGAAGATAGCTCAAATTCAAACCGACATTAATTCGAGATTTTGTCAAAGCTGTACTAGGATTTGCGCTGAATCACCCACTCTACTATGAATTTCCATCGTTATCAAAATATCATGTTCACGATTGACGCCGTGAGCATGAGAAGTATAAGGTGTCATTTAAACAGGTCTTAAAACCGAGAAGACACTGCTCACTGTGAGACGGGGAAGATCAAACACAAATCCCTCTAAATCCCTTAGATGCTGCTCGAGGCACATAGAGAAATACAGGTTTTGCGCATGCGCCGAACAGTCCCAATTCTTCTCCCACACTGCTGCCCAGTAGAGGGCGCTAGGGTTATTCATTAATACCCAGAAGTGCAGTGAGATCAATTCCACACGACTTCCGAATACAAAGATCAGTGATCAGAAGGAGTTTGCTGCGGAAGTTTGTTCGGGGATGTATGTCCGAAGAGGAACATATAAATTGAAGAAAAACCGTCAGCACTTATATAATTAATGGACCTTTATCATGCTGCCATAATTTCAGTCATGTTCCCTGTATTCACTATCGGTAGTGGATGATAATGTTTTTGTGCAAAAAAGGAACCAGACTATTTTTTTTCTTCCAGCCTCGCTTTGGTTACGTTGATTTGAATTGGACAAACAATCAAGATGGCCGCAACATGATATGGTCTTTTAAATCTAAAGATGAAACACACCTACACAAATCAGTGTAAAGGTATAGAAACATCTTCAGAAATATTTTATCGTGTCCAACACATCTGATTGTCTATTACAGACTGTGAATTTGTATTAAAGCAGCAGCAACAACAAAATCCCCATCCCCATCATCTCCTCCTCCTCCTCCTCCTCATCATCGTCTTCATCATCGTCTTCATCATCATCAACAACCAACAAAGCAAAACAAAACAAAGCAAGCCTTCTGCTTCTAAATGGCGTCAGTATACAGCGCCCTCAAGCGACCACAATGCCCTTTACAACTTATCACCAAAGGAAGGCCTACCTATGTGTTTATGCATAAGAAACGAAGCCATGCCAATCCTCAGGGCTTGTAAGCGGTTGCAGATAGATTAATCCAGCGTCATCGTAATAATTCGAACGCCCGCCATCACATCCGCATCTTCATTACCCGAGATATCGCCCCGGGGGTAGGGGGTCTCGTGGAGTTCAGGTTTGCCAGCGACCGTCGTTCCTATCCCACGGGGTCGAGCCGGCGCGATTACATCCCGACTATGCAAGCGCGCCATGACCTGAAAACTAAAAACATACCGACTCGTCTCTCAAATCCGAGTTTCATTTCAGTTGCGGCCTCAAGTCGGACCCCTAACTATACTTTCAAGTATTATCTTTCGTGCTCAAACCAAACAACATTGTGTTAGTTTTCGTGTTTCATAAAAAAATAACCCTGAGCTGGAATTTCCGGAATCACAGAGCTCAATTTGAAAAACAAACAAACCAAAAAGCCGACGCCAATGCTGCAAAGTAAGCCGTAGCTTGAGGAATGGGAGCGGTCAGAATCACAGCTCAGTTCAGCATAGGAAACAATGTTTTTTTTTAGCCAATAAATGACTGTGGTTAATTACAAATCAACCGAGAACGGTCACAGGCGGAAAAACATATCACGATTATTTTGTCGTGTTTTTTGTGTGTGTGTGGGTGTGTGGTATTTCTGTGTTAGGCACAGCTAAATGGAATTGCCACCGATATTATACAGTTTTAATTAAGAAACTACACATGACATATATCATCCATATCAATTTTGCCCGTTAAACCATGGAGTATTAATATCGAAAATTGTTACACTGACCTGTAAAAAGTGTTTTGTTCATGGGTGCTGGACTAAAAAAACAAGACAAAAATGTTGGTCTTGTAGTCTGGTTCCCTGACCCTTACTTCAGACGAAACGGAGCAATTTACAGATGGAATTGTCAGGTCAGGGAACCAGACTAGCTGGCTAGCACCCGTTTACGGATGTGTAACCGATTGCAAACAAAATGTGGACTAACTAAATTTGGTAATTGGGGGGGGGGGGAGTATTTGAAAAATACTTTTTTTCCAACGATGGTCGGCGGACGGAAAATTGATAAAAAAAATTCCACCTTGAAAATGACAGCACACCAGGTGGCATGATTTAACAGGATGCTTGAGACCATTATTCACCTACAGTCAAGAAAGGTATTTCATAACAATTTTGTAGGTTTTTTTTTAGATGTTTTCAAACGTATCATTATTGCCTATAAGAAACTGGTATGCCATATATTCTACACATGACATAGATCATCCATATTCATTTTTCCCGTTAGAAAATGAAATATGCAAATCTAAAATGAAATGAAATGCAAATTTCTACCAATTTAATCAAGGCAATGTTTTAAGATGTTGACAAGAGATGTCATAATTATGGGGGAGTCCGAATATGTCAATATTACCTTTCGACGAGATCGAGGATCGTATTATTGCAATGACTCGCAACTGGCGCCGGTGAAGGAAACGCTCGCCAGACGCCCGCGAGTGTTTTATTCAAAGTCGAGCTCGAGTCTCGTGTATGACCGGCAGCGTTTGGGCCAAAATGAAAACGAACCCTCGACGACGTCAGATAATGTAGAATCGAGAAAGGCTTTTCAAATGGAATAAGAAGGAACAATCCTTGTACGGGCCCCAGAACCCCCAAGGCCCAGTTCGTGCAGCTCTCGCAGTTAAAGACAGTTCCGGTAATGAATCTGAAATTATTAATTCACCGGTGTTTTCCCCGTTTTGTATAGGTTTAACTGTCGGGAACAGTACCGCAGTGCTTCGGTAATTATCATGGGAGATCAGTCACTGTAGCTCTAAATTGGGAAGTTTACACAAACTTTTAGATGCCTGTGAAATTCTGATTTTTGCTTCGGTGATTATTGCATTTTTTTTTACAAGCAACAGAAATGTATGAACTATAATTGTACCAGAAATGGCGTGCACGCATGCGCAAGGCCGTAGTTTTGTGTGGGAACATTTTAAAACAAAAACATGTATGGGAACAATGTATCACAAGGACGTATGGGATATTATGTTATGTCTTTAAAAAGGTTATTTTGTGTTCAAATATGCACCTGTTCATGATACCTTCAGGAGACAATTTGTCGTCCTAAATTGTACCTTTGGGAGATACCGAACATTAGGGAGATGTTCAATGTCTCCCTAATGTCACAGCTCCTATTTAGAGGCAAAATGGTACCTTCGCAAATAGGCTAGATCGATTGCTCGTGGTCCAAAACATAAATACACCGAAATTCGAGAGGATAGGATAAGGTCAAATAGGAGTTAGGTGTCGTTAAAAGTGGAGAAAAAAAAGTGTGCACAAGTATTTGGGAATGTCTCCCAAGTGACCCATTATCGCTAATTATAATTATTTGAATTATAATTATAGAACTAGTGTATATCACATCAGCGAGTGAGTAGCTACAACTGGACAAAATGTCGAATACTAGTAACATTCTCCAACTGCGCCGGTTATTTAATAAAAGAGCAATCTATTATTAGATTTAGTATTAAATGCAGCAACCTGTACAGCGCACACTGATACAAGATTAAAATTGTCAGCGTTTTATCCAATTGTAGACGGCGATTATAGAAGATAAGTAATTCATGCGTGCTAGTGATGAAATTTTAAACCATATCTCCCCGGTTGAAATTCATCCGCGTTTTCCCCCTGCCTTTTCATATTTTCATCAAAAGCGCTCCCCGATCCCCTGGGTTTACGTATTGTGTTTCACTGTAATCAGAGTCCGTTACATACAATATACGTGCGAAGAGGAAACGTGCGCACGGGGAGATTGAAGCAACGCAGCGTGAAATCTGCTGGTGGACATACGGGGCAATTTCACCGCAGAGCCCCCTTCGCCCTCCGCGCCCGTCTGCGTCGATTGATATCAAACCAAGCCCTGTCTCGTGGTGTATATGCGTGCGACGTCGAGGGACGGTGGTCACTCGGGGGTGAAATTTGCCGGATTGGAAATGAAATTAACTGACCGGCCGGGTGGCATGGTCGATGGCGTTGCGCAGAAAGCCGAAGCGACATGTGGAAAAAAATACACTCCGAGGAGTAATATATCCCAACACTTGCCAGTATAGTTCAGTGAATATCTCATGTTACAATATTACACAGATGATTCTAATCAACATATAGGGCCTAATTGTGTGAAGGTTAGGCCTATATTCAATAAATGTATCCAGTCTTCGGGGAATCAGGTTGGCGTAGCGGTACTTTCCACCTCTTCCAGCACCGAGTAAATTGTTTAAATGTTTACATGTTAAACGGAGTATAACCACACAACATCTCCATTTCTTCCGCTCCTGGTGAGCAATTTCATCCTATTATAAAAAATCCTACACGCTGTCTGTTGTGGAAAAAGGACAAGGGAATATTGGGTTAGGGCACATTTAAGTTTGACACATTGTGTACACAAGTTTATGGGGATGTCTGCCAAATGTCCAATCCAGGGTCATTGTTATTATTATTAGTAGTGGTTGCTTCACCAAGGTTTACCACGCCCACTTTGGGTCAACATGCAAATTGAGGTCAAAGTAAACATCAGCACTCCACACTCGCGGCATCCCTCTAGTGTCAACAAATAATTAAACAGCAACTTTTTGAGATTCAGTACCCAATACTCACAACAATTCGGATTACAAAAACTCTGACCCGATTTCCCCCTTTTAATGATAGTTCATTCAAAATGCAGGACACGGCAAGTGTAAAATTAGGCCGACGAATTGCAAATTGTGCGCCTGAATTCGGAAATACCATTAACTAAATTAACAGCCCTCTAGCCGTGCACGATTTACGTGCATGTGAATACTCCCCCACACAGCCCGT